AGTGCCGGTTCTTAAAGTCCGTCTCCCTCACTCACCCGTCTTTACCCAACAACACCCGGCACTTAAACAGCGAAATGTCATGGGGCGGGGGAATATGCAGGGGAAGGAGTAGGAGCGGGAAAAGGGGGGTGGGGAAAGGCGAAAAAGGCGCGGACTCTCTTTACAATGTTTTACGTTTTGTGTGTCAGTGTGTCTTCTGCCTTTTTTTTCCTTTTCTGTCGAGAGGGGTTCTTGGCAAATCTTCAGTGAACTGAATGAAGTGCGACCAAGACGAAACCCTAAAAAGTAACAGTAAATATTACAGCCTCCCACCCACACACTCGCACATACGAATACATGTGCACAAAACGTGACGAGCCCCTCTCCGTGGAATGAGTGGGCAGTGGGTGGGAGGGTTAGCGAGATAGCTAGCACAAAGCCACCAACGACAACCACAACAGCAAGAAACACATGCCGAGGAGGCCTGCACATGGAAATGTTCCAGTGTGTGTGTGGGGTCGATGAAATCAAAATCAGTGTCAATGTCAAGACAGCTCTAAAAAAAAAAATAATAATAAGGATAAGGTTGCCTTTAGGAACTGTGGCACCATCTCTGGCCTGAATTGCGCCACAAACTCCAGGGAGTTGTTTATAAATTAGTACCATCCGTCTATTGGTGGAATAAGTTTAAAACTTAGTAAAATGATACTCATGTTATTAAAAATTATGATGCTATATACACGTATTGAATTAAAAATCCAAGAAAGATCCCTACAATTGATATGCTAATTTAAACCAAAACTTGCAATTCAATTTAGGAATAACAACATTAATTAACCTTTTCAGATACCTAAGATTATTAAAATGGGACCTAAGTTAAATCAAGTTTTATTAAAAACATTTTAAACTGCACGAACATATCTTTGGGAGCAATTTGGTTGGAGCGAAATGATGAGATTTCTAAGGCACTCCAGTGCAAAACAAATATTTTTAAATTTATTGCAATAGAATAAGGTTGCCTTTAGAAACTGAGAATAGATATAAGAAAATGTGAGCCAGGTGAGTTAACTAAGTTAATCTAGCATTGCATTTTATAAATATATCCTTTTAACTCAGAATCATCATGAAACTCCCTAATATCCAGACAAAACCATTTAGTTGTTGAAGAGTACCTTCTCAATTTGCAAACATTTTTTTAACACTTACCGGTGGAGGTGTCCTGTACTGCTGCGACGGTCCCAACTGCGGACTATAGGGCCGCGGAGGCGGTGCCCAGCCACCCTGTTGCGCCCCGTATGGCGATGGCTGGTGCTGTGGAGGCGGCGGTCCGTGGCCCGGAGGCGGTGGTCCGCCAGCCTGCTGCTGCTGAGCCGCCGCCGCCGCTGCCGCCGAAGCGGCCGCCTGCTGGGGATCGTAGGTGTTGGCGTAGCGGTGCTGCGGCGGTGGCGGCGGATTCGAGGACTGCAGCAGGGAGTTCAGCGTGGGTGTGGGTCCCTGCGGCGGTTGTCCGGGTATGTAGCGCTGCTGTGGCGGACGATTAGGTGAGCCACCCGGCCCTTGCTGCTGCTGCTGCGGCGGTTGCTGTTGCGGATGAGGTTGTTGCTGCTGTGGAGGCTTGCCACCTGGCAGCGGTTGGCCATAGCGATATGGATCCATGTTGGGATCGGCGTGATAGCGACCGTACGCCGGATGAGGATGCGGCGGCGGCAGGTGGGCGTACTCCTCTTTGACGCCGGGCGCATGCTCAGGTGCTCCTCCGGGTGGTGGTGCGGGTCCGCCGTGGTGCTGCTGTTGTTGCTGCTGTTGCATGTGGGGCGGTGGCGGGTGCTGCTGCTGTTGGTGCAGATGGTGGTAGTGCATAACTGCAGCGGGATCTGGCCCTGGTGGTCCTCCAGGGGCTGATCCTGGGGGCGGTGGTGCGCCGTATGGATGTGGGGCAACATTTTGCTGCTGCTGGATACCGGGATCACTGCCGTTGTTGCTGTTGTTGTTGGGCGTGGGTGGGCCCGATGTAGGTGGTGTGCCACCTCCAGGAGCCGCTCCTGCCGATGGGGGCGTGGCTGCGGGCGCAGGAGCTCCACCACCCTGCTGCTGCTGCGTTTGCGGCGACTTTATTTTTTCATTCATGGCTGCTCATCGGCTGCTGGCTGTGCTCCTGATCTCCCAGATTTTCCAGTTTTGTGGCGGCTACTGATGGAGCACCGGTAACCACCAACAACAACAACGCTGACGCTGATGACGACGACGACTGCAGCGGCGAGTTTGAGGTTATGTTAGCTGCAAGTTATCAAAAACGGGAGATTAGCATTTGGCAAGGGGGCCTAACTTAATAGTGGGGCTTTCTATATCACTGGGCCCAGATCGGGCGGGTTAAACATAAATTATTTGTATTCGTTCATGGGCTGTTGTGTATTGAAAAGTCCGCTACTAACACACACACATGCTCACTCATACCACATCAACAATTTATTTTCTGCCGCGTACGGTGGGCAAATCGCAGTGCGTTGACAACCCTGCCGCTGCCGCTCTCGCAGCTTGAGCGCAGTCACTCGCTCTCGCTGGCGCGCTCTCTCTCTCTCTTTTCACATTTGGCGGCTATACACGCACACGCCGTATCCCTTTCCGTCTCACTTGCACTTGCTCGCTAGCCAGGCAGCAAGCATATGTCGCTCTCGCTCGCTCTCTCGCTTTATTAGTTTCTGTGTGAAACGAATGAAACGGGCAGCACAGTAATGATTTTTTCGTAATTATTTTCTATGCCGATTTTTCGCGTTTACACAGCACTGGAATGGCCAAGGGGCATCTCACAATTCATATATATTTCTCAGATGCGGCAATTGTTTAGCTTTTAGAGGGGGCAAACGTTGGGGTTTATAAATAATTGCCGCCTGCCTGGCCGCGTTTGTTGCGCGTTCACACATTGCCGCTGCCGTCTTGGGAGGTTTTTTCTCTCGATTTTGGCGTTTTCTGCGGTTTTTCGCCAAGTGTTGATGATGATGATGATGCAAGGATCCGACATCCAATCATTTGCATATGTATACACACGCACGCACACACACTAACAGCCTCCAAGTGCATCGAGAGGAGAGAAACTGAATTTTTCACTCGCCCTCGGGCGAAAGTCCGGCGGCAGATTGTTGTTGGCTAAGACTCTATATTTTTGTGGGGCTTTGGTTTTGGGGCTTTGCTTTTCTTAACCAAAAATCTACATACACGCACACCACTTACACATAGAAGAATATTCACGCATTGACGACCGTCCACAGACTGGCTATATATACTAAAAACGAACTCGCGTGAGAAGACAGGGACAGGGCAGCCAACTCGGTATACGAACGGAACGAATGAAACGATTCAAGTAGTAGTGTATGCAAGTCTTGTCTGTCTGCGCCTGGCGTTCTTTTTTTTGGTTTTTCGCCAGGCTGGGGCGCTGCCAAAACACTGCTGCGACGGCCACAATCACACGCGGCTGGTCGCCAGTTGGGCCCTGCACAGGCTGCACATACTTTTCACTTTTAATGCGCTGTATTTCACTTAATTTTTGAACAATTTCGCAGCATGACGAAGAAGCGAAGCCTGTACAAAATTAGAGCGGGTACTAGTATCGATATATCGAATATGGCTTTGCGATACACTATCGATGTCAGCATCGATAGCGGAGACACCAACACTTATCGATAGTCGGTAAACACTTACTCCACAGTTAGCGTATACAACCACCATTTTATTTGCTTTTGAGATGAGGCTGCCATCACGGACAATATGGCAACGCCTTTCCGGTCTATCGATACATCGATAGCTTTCGTTAAGTTTAACAGCACTCTGTTAGTTCGTTAAATCGCACAATAGCAGTCACTGCTCTCTGGTAACAATAATTTGGCACCACTGTTTCAATAAATACCAATTCAAAAATGGAGATGTATAAAAGTATAATCAGATCAATCGTAGTTATGGGACACATAAAAACCACCAATATTTCAGTATCAACAGTGATACTTCATATAAACAATTTTAGGATTGAGATAAAATGAAATATAAAAATATAATATGGGTTTAATAGCTTTGTTGTGTTAACTAATTTTTTTTATTAAAATTATCAATAATTGTTATGGAAAATACGTTTATGTAATTATTTTTCTGTATTCTACTGTTTCTTCAGCTTATTAGCCTGCGAATATGTATAATTTTAGCACAACATATTATGACATAATTGAAGGATGACTACCAAAATCAATAGAGGAAATCAATTAAGCTTCCACAGCACTCGCTGATATACATTGATTGTTGAATAAAGACGATATTTTGCTTTTTGTCTTATAATTAAATTTAAAACAAGACTGCATCATTACTTTTACTGGAAACGCTGGTTAAACTCCAAAAAATGTATGTAGACTTAAGTCCGCCACTGTAATTTCGCAAAAGTTTTCACCAGCGTGGTGCAAGTTTCCTCAGGCAAATCCTTACTCTTTACACTGGACCACATGGAAAAGTACATAGCGCCTATTCGGCAAGACGTACAAAGGTTCTATTTGTTCAATCTCTACCAAAACCGTGCGTTAATTAATGGCCGCAAAAAGGTTTTATTTATCAGATCGATTTAATTTCTTTATTGAATTAAAATTGTATAACTCTTAAATTAAAAGAGATTACAAACAATTTTGTCAGAAACATGCCTTTTAAAATATATTGTGGTAAAAAATATACAATAAAAACTAAATTTCTGTATTTATTTTTAAAAATTAAAAGTAAATGATTTTAATTACGAATTTAACCTTGACGGTGACTGTAAACTTTATCTGTAAATCGCTTATTCGGAGTATTCCGAAACAAATCTATACTCTACCGTATAGTTTTACATTTGTTAAATATTTTTAAACATTTTTAATGTATTTGCTAAGAGCACTACATGCGTTTCAAAACACTACTTTTAAAAGTAGTTGCGCCTAACAGCACACTGTTACAGAAAATAACAGCACCCTGCAAATCTTTCTGTTCTGTCATCAAATATTCTTGTCATCGAATGGAAAATGGCGGCATTTTAAGTTTATTTGAGTAGCAAAGATAAAGCTTCAAGTTTTTTTTTTTTTAAAGTGTTAGCCAATTTATATTCAATTAGGTACAAAAATGAGACCAATTTTGTTTGTTTCCCTGCTATTACTTGTGGCGCAAATTGGTGAATCCCAGGCGGCGGCATTTTCCGTTCGTCAAAACCGCTTCGATGAACTTCCAGATCTACAAACTGCAGCTCCAGATCTTCCTGAACTTCCGGATCTGCAAACTCCAGCTCCAGTGGCCTGTTCAACAGAAGCTACTGAGACATCTGAAAAAGGTAAATACTATAATGTTAAACAGATTAAATAATTTGGCAATCTCCTAATTTTCATAAAGATGTAGCCATTACATTACGGTACTTCTCTAAGCGGCCATCTTGCTCTTTTACTTTACTGTTCTTATTTACAGTTATTGGAACTATATGTTAGTTTTGATCTACACTGAAAAATGGAGATAAGATCAATGTGCATTAGTTCTTATAACTACATCTTTTACAAAAAAGGACATCGCTTTTTAAAGGAATGTAATTTGTTTTCTTAATTTTTTGATTTTAACATCAAATTAAAATGTTGAAAAATATCGTTTAGATATTTAACGACTGGCCAGAAATTATTTAAATAATCTTTAAACTGATATTAATATAATTTTCTGTTATATAAATTTTCTTTCTCTGTAGTCATCAGCGGGTTGCTAAAAAAATGTGAAAAGTGCAATGAAGGTATAAAATGTGTGCCCCAAATCCAGTGCCCCGCCCACGTTCGCATGGAAAGCCATGAGAAGCCGCAGATTTGCGATCTTCCGGCTGGGAAATTCGGCTACTGCTGCCAGACGGGACAGAATCACACTGGTCCACGGTTGGAATTTTCAGCCAAGGAGCGGCGATCGAGATTTCCCACCATCCTGTCACCTGCAGTTCTGGATGAGGCACGTCGCAATTTTGAGCATCTGATGCATGGAGTGGCACAGATTCCTGTTCGCCGTGGTTTTCCCGATTTTGCCCACGGCCTGGTGTTCCATTCGACGGCCAAAGATGATTTTCACAATTTTGCCATTTCGAACAGTGCCATCGAACAAGTGATGACCACTCAGTTGTTTGGTAAGAAGGAGCAAGTTCCCTTGGACGATTTTATTACCAACAATGTACCGATCAAGTTCACGGAAACTCCGTTGGCTCAGCATTGTCAGTCGAATGCGATTTGCCGGAATGTGCGTTCGGTTTATCGCAACTTAGATGGCACATGCAACAATCCCCTCCCTCAAAGATCGCTATGGGGTGCTGCTGGTCAGCCCATGGAGCGGTTACTGCCCCCGCCTATGAAGATGGAGTCTGGACACCGCGAGCCCATTCATCCGACGGAACTCCTCTGCTAGGCGCCCGCAAGATCTCACGAACTTTGTTTTCGGACGTTGATCGTCCACATCCCATGTACAATCTCTTGGTGATGCAGTTCGGTCAGGTCTTGGTAGGTAACCATAACACTAGACCAACTAATGGTGGTATTATTAAACTTATTTTTAAGAAATATGTTAGTTATTTTTAAGTTTCCGATGAATTGTAGAAAGGTGGTATAAATTTGAACATCTAGAGTCCATAGCCATCATCTAGGCGTCGATCTAGCCATATCCGTCCATCTTGTCTGTGGCAGGTATATCGTATAGCTCACAACATAAACATTTGGGAAAAAGGGGAAATAATATTTTAACTTCGTTGTTTCTTAAAACATACTCCTAAATAATAATTTACAACGATTTCACAATTGCGCTTTTACTTATTGCAATATTATAAAAGCGATCGAAAAATTGATAGGGAAATCGACCTAACTTGATTGTTTTTAGAATATTTAAATTTTTGTAAGAGCTGCAAGGTTATATGAACATCACGTTGAAGTGTTCTTTCCTTTTCTTTCTAACTAAATTAAAGGTTTAAATTATTATGATTGTTTTAGGCACACGACATTTCCCAAACTTCTTCGGTGCGTCTCGAGGATGGAAACCTTGTGCAGTGCTGCTCGCCCCAGGGAAAAGCAGCTCTAAGTCCGCAGCAAAGCCACTTTGCCTGCATGCCGATCCACGTTGAGCCTGATGATGAGTTTTTTGCAGCTTTTGGAGTGCGTTGTTTGAACTTTGTAAGGTTGTCCCTGGTGCCCAGTCCAGATTGTCAACTGAGCTATGGCAAACAAATGAGCAAGGTGACGCACTTTGTGGACGCCTCTCCGGTTTACGGATCAAGTGATGAGGCATCTCGTAGTCTAAGAGCCTTTCGGGGCGGACGTCTGCGCATGTTGAATGATTTTGGACGTGATCTCCTGCCCCTTACGAGCGACAAGAAAGCCTGTCCTAGCGAGGAAGCCGGAAAGTCATGTTTTCACTCGGGTAAGTCAAACACTTTTTAATTGATAACGAAAAAATCAACCTTTAAAAATTTAATAAAAAATGTTCATATTATTCTCGGATTTTAGGAGACGGGCGGACTAATCAAATCATATCACTGATTACCCTTCAAATTCTGTTGGCCCGCGAGCACAACCGTGTAGCAGACGCTTTGAACCAACTTAATCCTTCCGCCAGCGACGAATGGCTTTTCCAGGAGGCTCGACGCATAGTTATTGCCGAGATGCAGCACATTACATACAACGAGTTTCTGCCCATTATTATCGGTCCGCAGCAGATGAAGCGCTTCCGTTTGGTGCCACTGCATCAGGGCTACGCTCACGACTACAATGTCAATGTGAATCCGGCTATAACGAACGAATTCTCAGGCGCCGCCTATCGCATGGGTCATTCTAGGTAGGAATGTAATATAATTGTAAGACTCCTCTTATTTTTAATTTTAATCATTTGCCTCAAGTGTCGATGGCAAGTTTCAAATACGCCAGCAGCATGGACATATCGATGAAGTGGTTAATATCCCGGATGTGATGTTTAATCCTTCGCGGATGCGCAAGCGAGAGTTTTACGACGATATGCTGCGCACTCTTTACAGCCAACCCATGCAGCAGGTGGATAGCTCAATAAGCCAGGGAGTAAGGAAAAAAAAAACATTTTTCTTCCTGTTTAGAGTATTTTAAATTGCGTTTACCTTGAACAGCTTAGTCGATTTCTGTTCCGCGGAGATAATCCCTTTGGGCTGGATCTAGCTGCTATTAATATTCAGCGAGGACGCGACCAAGGACTGCGCAGTTACAACGACTACTTAGAATTGATGGGGGCGCCCAAGCTTCAGAGCTTCCAGCAGTTTCCCAGTGAAGTAAGTTAAAGCATCTTGTACTAATAAATTAAGGTCGAAGCTATAACTTTCAATCGTATTATAATCTTAATATATAATTACCTTACATTTTTTATATCAAAAAGATTGGCCAGAAGCTGTCACGCGTTTACCGCTCCCCGGATGACATTGACCTGTGGGTGGGCGGTCTGCTTGAGAAGGCCGTCGAGGGCGGCGTTGTGGGAGGTACCTTTGCCGAAATCATAGCCGATCAGTTCGCCCGCTTTAAGCAGGGCGATCGATACTACTATGAGTACGACAATGCGGTCAATCCGGGCGCTTTTAACCCTCAGCAGTTGCAGCAGCTGCGCAAGGTGACCATGGCCCGCCTGCTCTGCGACAATTCCGATCGTCTTACACTTCAAGCGGTGCCATTGGCCGCATTCATAAGATCTGATCATCCTGGGTAAGTCAATTTTAAAATGAACTGAGCAATTTCTTTAGTGACTTGCTTATTTCTTTATAGAAACCAAATGATTGACTGTGATGATGCCAGCCTGCCTGCTGTTAATTTCGAGGCATGGCGCATTTGATATCATTTTTTAAATCAATTTTTAATTTATTTATCGAGCTTTTACCTGTATTTATATATGCGAATGTTCCTCCGAATTGTATATCCCCGTTTTATGAAACTGCGGCTTAACAAAGAAAGCAAAATAAAAGCCACATCGAATTGGATCACACTCCGCCCGATTGATTAAGCTGATCCACTAATTAAACGAAAATTTCTTTGTCTCCGAAGAATGTTTTTTATTTTTTTAAGCGTGAGCTCTCTGCCTCCTTTTTTGTTTCCCATCAGTCCTTTTATATTACATTGTTGATAGGGTGACAAATGTTTTACCAGATAACCCAGAAGCTGTCATTTGTTTTGGGAAACTCACTAATTTCTTTATTAAATTAACAAATTTTGTTTCGTAATTCTGTTACTGTTATGATATATGTATGTGAATATTTATATGTTTGTTTCTGTCGTAGACTCGCTTTGGATTATCTAGTCAATTAGTGGCTGTTCGCATTTGTAAATAACATGATATGCAAATATCAAGCTAAATTAAAATGTATAACAGAATATTATTAAATGTCTGTATCAATTCCGATCCATTTCACAGTGAGTTGTGTGTCGACGTATATCTGTGAAGTCTTGTTTAACCTTAGATATTGTTTATTTGAGCTTCTATTTTTACAATCTTTACGTAAGTCATGTGCACGAATCAGTTACGGAAAAAATACGCCTTTTGTAATCTGAGTTGACACAAAATAACTTGACTGTTCAACAAATTATTGGGATATAATAATTTTGATTTAACTTTCCACTTTATAAGAGAGTCTAATAGGAATGGTTAATTCCAAATTTTAAGCACGAATATATGGTCAATGTTTACGGGTACGGCAAGATATGTAGATTAATATTACAAACAAAATCTAAATTTAAATAAGATTTAAGGTTGTAGGTGTAAAGGGGAATACTAGTGCTACTATCAATCCTGATCTATATTTATTTAAAAGTTTCCTTTGCTAATCTATGTAAATAAGTTTCCCAAACAACTTTGTTTTGATGCACCACCCAAACCGACTGGATTGGCTGAGTCCCCTCGAATTTTTTATTGCATGCTTTCAGAGCACACTTTTGCCCGATTTAAACTGGTTTTGTCTCTCATATTTTCACCAATTAGTGAACTTAAACACATCATAACAACAAAAGCAATGAATGCTTCCATTTAATTTGCCGGTGTTCTGAATGGGACGGGCCATCGATTTGTAAATTATAATTAAGCCGTAGCCGTGAGTTCACTAGATGTTTTCGAGCATTTCAATTAATTTCTGTTTTTTCCAGATACCTACGAGACCAGAGGCAAGGGATTAGCGAAGGCGATACCCCTTCCAACAAGGGGAAGCACATAATGTGATGATTGTTTTACCCAGCGTGGGCCATGATGACGCCGTTAGCTGCTGGTTAGCTGGCTAGGACCAGTCATTTTATTGATGAACTTGCGAATGGCGAAAAGTGACAATTGAAACTCAACCGACCACCAAAACGATTAAGCGGGGCAAACCCGAGTCTATTGACGTCCGTAGACGTTCTCATCGGAATATGAAATGTAAAGGAAGTAGTCCTTGTCGAAGTGCTCCTGGTAGAGTGCTCCCATGGTGGCCGATGTCGGAGGTATCACATTGTTCACAAAAAAGAAGAGGGCGTCGTCGGGACGCAGGTTGATGCGCTTGCGGATGAGGAAATAGAACTGGCCCACCGTCAAGTCGGCCGGCACCAGGTACTTCTTCTTGTCCAGCTCGACATAGCGGGTCTTCGGGGCCTTCTCGACGATTACAGGCACACGGTCCGGATATTTGCGCCGGATCTTGTCGCCTTCGTTGCGGCGCTTGTCGAACGTGTGATCCTTCTTGTACTGGAAGTGCATGTCCATCTGGGCAGACTGGGGTACGATTCGAAACGGAGCGGAGCGAAACAAGAGATTTCGATTTGGATTTGGTAAGACTTTTGCTGCTGCCAGTTATAGTTGCTTAGAATTATGATTTATTTTTCCACTAATCAGCCAGCTTTGACTTTGGCAGATAAGCAAGTGCCTTCTGAACACTAATTTATTTTGAAAATGAAAATGTCAACTGGACCTGCATAAAACATCAGTATGATTCTGTGTTCGCAGCTTCGATATTTAAATTATCAGAGTCCCAAAAAAATATTGAATTGTTAAAACATTTAAAATAATTCCAGAAGTATTTGTTCATTATGTTTTGGATATTTTAAATCTGATGATATCTTAATTATTAAAACATAGGAAATTGGGTCCTTAGTTAGAAATTATTAACATTGTGATAGTAGAATCACCGAGTCATGTGAATCATACTGTGAAACTGTTTTAAATTACAAAATAATTCGAGCACTGTTGACTTCTGCAGGGCTCTAATATTATTTAAAGGCACATTGAGGGCTATAATGTCATAGGCACTGAAGGCTTCGATGGGATTGACCGCAAGTTAAGTGTGCATATAGGGCCGAAAGTGCGAAAGCTTTCACCAGAAGCGACCGCAACAACAGTAAACGCAACGCATCGCAAAGCTAAAGCAAATATGTTTGGTTCCGTCGTTACAGCCAAAGCCTGCCAGCTCGTCGCTCGGATAGCTCTTGAGCTCTCATTTCGCCACTGCTTCTGGAGCTGCTCGGTTGTTCGCGCTCGGTGCCTCGGTTGCTTGTCGTCCCACTTCCAGTTTGTGGTTCAGTTGTTTCCGGTTGTGGGTGTTAGGTAGTCCCTAGCAACTGCAACAGGTGTATTCACGCGTGCTGAAGGCAATCGGAAAAATTTGAAATATCAAAAGATCCGGTGAGCAAAATGGCCGAATAATGACTTTGTGAATTGAATTGTTCACCAGCAAGAAAAGCGGAAAATTAACGCGGGAGTGCGTGTGCAAAACATTACCCAACAAAAATCGCCTGACCAAATTTACTGACAACACCATTATAATTCTGTATTTATTCGCCCATGTGATGTTTGAACAAATTTATTTTACGATCCCCACTTTGCCGGAGTATGTTGATGTTTGTGCAAGTTTTTCCATAAAATTATTAAATTCTGTTACCCCAAAATCCTCTTGATTTTAGTGGCGATAAGCTATAAATATAAACATCTAATCTATGTATATGGCCATTACTAATTAAACTCACGAGTGCGAAACAAATCACCAATTGTATTCCTAATCTGAAAAGTAATCGCCTTAATGATGTTGATAGAGTGCACTGAAATACGAAGTCTTGCTACTTATTTGTTTTGTGAGATGAGCTGAGATTTAATTAAAATGGTATGATTTTGTGATGTGATTCGTCAGTCAACGAATGTCGGCATTCATTTTGTGTCCGCTAATAGGTTGATATTAATAGACTTCAAGATTCACAAAGATTTCTAAATAACTTTGGATGAATAGCATGGAAACGCATTTTCTAAACATTGATAATAAAATGTAATTAAATAACAAATTTAATTTGCTGGCAACCGTCTACCGAAACAGAAAGTTTTTGCGGCCACTCAACTAGAAAATTTTAAATCGTTATTTCTCTCAAAGCTCAAAATATTCATATTAACTTGTTTTATACTGTTGTTAAAGCGCTAATTAACATTAATTCGCTAAAAACGACACTAGAACTTTTGCTGGGATCAGACATTGCAATCATGTTCATTAGGCCAGAATAATTCGAAATTCCTCCCGCTTAATCGTGTGTGCTTGGATTACTTAATTTTATAGGCGCCATTTGCGCCAAAATGCAGAGAAGCCATTTATGTTTCCATAATTCCGATTTTAATGAAAACGAAAACTTAGTTGGTTTGAATGTGCGTCAAACTAGATTTAATTCAATTGAAAACTGCTAACTATTCGGTCTTGATGCGAATGCAAACAATCAGTACGAGCTGCCAATCAAGCAAAACATTGTGTAAATAATTTATTTAACTCATTTTCTTGGCTTTGTCGAACGCACAGTGAGAGATTTTGTATACTCGAATGATTTTATTATCGTTTTGTAAACCTATTGCGTCGTTTCCACTGGATTTTCGTGAAGATTTTTGTCAGCCAGGTTGCTATCATTGAAAAATCTGATCTTTAGTCCACGGCCAACCGTTGCCCCGCATTCCGGCAAAGGTTCACGGCGATTTGCGCATTCCTCCGGAGGTTGCCTAGCCGAAGGTGTTAATTAATATTTTTAATTTTCCCTTCGTAAGGGCGGAGACGGAGATAGCCGCCATCAGATACTCAGATTGGGCACGCTGGCCGAAAGATCGCGGCAATAAAGCTAGCTGGAGCACATGCGAGAACAAATATTTGTTAATTAAAAGGTAGAACATGGCGCACACCTGTCGGCAGTCTTTTGAGGTCCCCAGATAAGCTGGGAATATTGAAGTAGTTGTGGCTCGGAGCCTGGTCATATAGCTTCTAAAACTCCGCTCCCAGTCAATCTGGGTTTACGGTATCACTAATTACGCGAAACTGAATGTTTTAATTAGCTGGTGAGAACTAAAATTAAGCACAAACAGAGCTATAAAACGACATGGCTCGTGGAGGTGTTCAAAATAAATTTTTATGGGGCCTAAAAACGTGATAGACATACATACAAATAAAGGCCGAGCACTGTGTCTAAAAATAATGCAATGGGTTAAATACGAATTTTATGCCTGTGATAACATATGTTAATTAACAAACTCCAGTCAATTCCACCCCGATATTTTCTTTATTTCTGTTTGCCTATGTCTTTCTCTCGAGTCAGTGTCCTCTTGATATGTTTTCATGCCACAGGCTTCACTATAACTGTGGTCTTTTTACGGACTGATTGCCTAAGAAATTTACCGCAAATACTCTTGGCCGGCCGGTTGATTTCGATTTTAATTTTTCGTTCGCTTTTGTACGGATTTGAAAATCAATCAAACACGCGTTCGCGCCAGAGAACGTGACAATCCAATTCACGGCATGACAAATATCTGCGGATCAGCCTGGACAGCGAATCATTTGCTCGATTCTATTTAACTTTATCATTCGCCAACTGAACGGGCAGCTTGATGGCTTCATTACGCAGGCACTGAATCTCCCATTCCGTTTCCAACAGGCTCCTCACAAGATGCACAAACTTATTTAAGTTAATTAGAAGTGAAACGGTTGAAAAAAAGGATATTTCTTGAGGAAATGAGCCGCCAATTATGTACTTAGTATTGGTCGGAGGAAACGACAGAGAACAATGGAAAAATACACAATTCTGGCCCGGAAGAGGGCCCGGCGGCCATCAAAGAGGATTCTAAAGTGCCTGTCACTCGAGTTCCTGTACCGGCTGCTCCTCCACCATCTGCTGCTAACCTCGTTGTGTGACCATCATTACGTATACGCCACGAGTGCCGTCGGCGAGCCGATAAGTGCAAGTGACTGTCACGACATCCACCACGGATTCGACGTCTTCCCCAATCACACTGCGTTACCGCTGGGTCAATCGACGGACACACCCCTGACCTCGACATTGCCACCCTCCGGATGGAAGTGTTGCTGTTGGAAATCAAGTAATCAAGTAAGTGATACTTTGAACTTGGCTATACATGTATACCCCTCTATGACAGCAATTTACTGCCCACCAGACAGAATCAGTTTGGACAGGACTTGAAGTTATAGTTATAGAAAAACTTTTTAGAAAACACAAATGAAAATAAAATGTCTTAAAAGGCTTTCATTCGATTTTCCACTTAGTTTAAATTGATCATTGAACCCTTAAATACATACATTTTCGGTTGTTATAAAAGTTCATATAAAATATAAAATAATTAAGGTAATAAAATCCATAGTTACCATAGAAAAACAACAAAACAGAGCGCATATTACACCCCACTTTCATGCTTAACTTTAAACTTTTATTTTTTAGCTGTAAGCCTCAGCAACCTTATTTAATCCCACTTTTTCCACAGAACGAGGAGGTGGAGTGCCGATGTGAGGGTGACGGACTTAACCGCGTACCACAATCGCTTAAGCTGCCCATCCAGCGACTAACCATTGCGTCTGCGGGACTGCCTAGAGTACGGTTCACGGGACTGAAGGTCTACGGATCCTCATTGCTGGATGTGTAAGTTATGGTGGATGTAGTTTTTGGCCACATGTATAATAGTTGTCCTTTGGCTCAACAGGGCTTTCATTGACTGCCTGCAGCTGGAACTCATACAGGATGGCGCTTTCGCTAATTTAGCGCTGCTGCGAACAATGTAAGGCCTGATTATAATTGTATTAAAGTGGCAGCCCCAATTTCCCGAGACCTTTATTATATGCCTGCCTGTATATTTTTAGCTATATCTCTAATGCACCTAAGCTGACCTTTCTCTCAAAGGACGTATTCTCTGGCATTTCGGGCAGCGTGGAAATTATGTAAGTTAATTAAGGTCCCATATCTGTAGGATCACATATAGGGGTAGCCAGTAAGCACACACAGCTGTGTGATTTTATGTAGGCCGGAAGATGGGGTTCATGTGGTGACATCGCTAAATATATTACTTAATACCGACTCGAGGTCAACAGATTATTTGTGTGCAGCCGAGCTTTTTCACTAGCTCTATCAGTTTGTTTTCAACATGTTGTTCAAAAGGAATTTTGCGAATCAAAAATTCATTAAAACGACAATTTTCATATTGTTATAAAAAAATATTTCATATGACTGTTTTTCTCTTGCTGTGTTATTTCGTTTTCAGCCTGCCGGTCAAAATTATTTGCAGAGCGAATACAATTAAAACGACAGTTCTCATATTTTCTGTTAACAAAATTGCTGAAAAAAGGCTGTCAGAATATTAATTTGCTGGATTATTTTTGTACGACTATTTTTGCCTTGTGGTATTAATTCGCTCAAAATCTGTTGGTCAAAAGAAATACCAGGAATACAAGAACAAATACAATAATAAATAACCCGGTTTATTATCGTGTAGGGCAAGAGTTCAGAAGAAAAGTGCGTGCGGTTAACTTAATCTGCAGTGGACGTGTTTAATGTCTAACAATAGCATTAAATTTGTTTTTTATTCCGACAGTCGCATCATAAACAGTGGACTTACCAGAGTACCGGATCTGGGCCACCTTCCGCCGCATAACATTTTGCAAATGATGTGAGTACTAAATATGAGTGAAATAAAAAAAAAGGGAAAAGTGCTTTAATGTTTTTTTTTATAATTCTTTTTTAATTTCAGAGATCTCGATAACAATCAAATCACTCGAATAGATACCAAATCAATAAACGTAAAGACTGCCCAATTGTAAGTATAAATGGTTTGTACTACAAATATATCAGTAATCTCCAAAGAACCCTAATATTTATAGAATTTTGGCAAACAATGACATAAGCTACGTCGATGACTCGGCATTCTTCGGCTCCAAGATAGCCAAACTGTGAGTATTTAAAGTATAAAAACTCTATAAAACAGATTTATTTAAATTGTGATTTTTCAGCTCTCTAAACGACAACCCAAAACTCAAAGAGTTGCATCCCAATGCCTTTAATGGCATTATAGACATTACTGCGCTGTGAGTATTGGATTATAATATTCAGTGATAATATTCAGAATCATTGTGATTTTTACTCGTTATGTTTCTCTAGCGATCTTTCCAGCACTTCGCTAATTGGAATGCCATCAGCCGGACTTCAGACCATCGAAGCATTGTACATTCAAAACACACACACTCTGAAAACAATTCCTTCAATCTACAATTTTCGGGTTCGTAAAAAGAAAATTCCCTTTAAAGTTATATTCTAAAATTATTTTTTTTCTTTCTGTAGAACTTGCAGAGGGCTTACCTCACGCACTCCTTTCACTGTTGCGCCTTTCAGTTCCCATCTCGGCACGATCCTGAACGCCATGCTCAGCGAATGCTTGAGATTGAAAAGTGGCGAAAGCAATGCAAAAGTGACCAAGTGTCCCGAAAAGAGAGATCCATTGCGGATAATCTTAACAGTGTGCCGGAAGAGTTTGGAAGTTTTGGAATGACCGATCAATCCTTAGATTACATGTCCGATGACACAATGAACAAGGGAACTTTTCACGAAAAGATCACGCTTAATCCAGAGGATGACATAGACGAACTTTGCGGAAATTTTACATTCAGGTAAGAAGTTAGACATAATTCCCCATCTTTAGGTGCTTTTATAATATTTTTTTTATTGTAGAAAACCGAATATAGAATGTTATCCTATGCCGAATGATCTTAACCCTTGCGAGGATGTCATGGGCTACCAATGGCTTCGCATTTCCGTATGGATTGTTGTTGCTCTAGCCGTGGTGGGCAATGTGGCAGTGCTGACAGTAATTCTATCGATTAGGTAAGTCTTTCAGTTTGCTCAAACAATATAAATCACACATAAAAGGCTTCTTAATTAACCATGAGGTTTAAAATAATACCTTTTCTTTTATAGGTTTTGTATTTATTTGAATAATGAATAATGTTTTAATCATTAGAAAACTTTTCACCTAATATCAAATATCCAACATTTTTTAAAGTGCCAATAATCACCGTCTATTCCAGGCCCGAATCAACGCCAGTGCCGCGATTTCTCATGTGTCATCTGGCCTTTGCCGACCTTTGCCTGGGTGTCTATCTGCTTTTGGTGGCCTCTATCGATGCCCATTCTATGGGAGCGTATTTCAACTACGCTTACGACTGGCAGTATGGTGGGTTGCCCTAATTTTGGTGCTTTTTTACGTGTTTTGTTTTGACTGTCTTTCCTATAATTTTCACAGGGCTCGGCTGCAAAGTTGCCGGCTTTCTCACCGTATTTGCAAGCCTTTTGTCGGTGTTCACGTTGACCGTGATAACCATCGAGCGCTGGCTTGCGATTACGCAAGCCATGTATTTAACTCATCGTATCAAGTTGCGCCCTGCTTCGTTCATTATGCTGGGCGGCTGGATATACTCCATACTCATGTCCTCGCTGCCGCTGTTTGGTATAAGCAATTATTCGTCGACAAGGTGAGTAAGCTGAAATGTCATCGTGACATAAACTGATGCCTGGTTATTGCAGCATCTGCCTTCCGATGGAAATTCGCGACGTATTCGACACGGTGTATCTGATTGCCATCCTGGCCTGCAACGGCGTGGCCTTCTCCATCATAGCCGTGTGCTATGCCCAGATATATCTATCCCTTGGCCGCGAAACACGGCAGTCGCGTCAAAATAATCCTGGAGAGATGAGTGTAGCCAAGAAGATGGCGCTTCTGGTAAGTGGAATTCTTGTATTTTTGTATAAAACCATAATTTAAAACTCCTTTCAGGTCTTTACAAACTTTGCCTGTTGGTCTCCCATTGCATTCTTTGGACTTACGGCGCTGGCTGGCTTCCCCCTGATCAATGTGACCAAGTCAAAAATACTGCTAGTATTCTTCTACCCATTAAACTCGTGTGCGGATCCGTACTTATATGCCTTACTGACCTCCCAATATCGCCAGGACCTGTTCACCTTGTTGTCGAAGTAAGTGGCACAGATTGTCCAAAAAATATCTTATTGATCAAGAACTATATACTTTTAGATTGGGACTGTGTCGACAGAGCGCTTTAAAGTACAAGGACAGCTCCTCCGCTCATGCCACATCCCGATTTACCATCCACAATTCTATTCATAGGCATGGTTCGCTAACCAGCAAAATGCAGACTGTAATAAGCGCAGAGACACAGAAAATGCTAAAGAACAGCGAGGATTATGTTTAAACTGAAGCATGGGTATTTTGAATGCACTTCTTCCCCCTGTTGTGATATATACAAGTACTATTAATTTACGCTCTCTCGATGTTCCGCTGTCTGTTCCAGTATTGTTAGCCTCCCACGATTAATGATATTTTAATTATTTAAGTTCGTTTTATTTTTTCTTGTCATACTTAAGTCATTTAGTCTAATCTACACAGTTGTACCTAAGAAAAATATTGCTAATTGAAAAGAAAAGATCTTCCCTCAGTGAAAGTATATATGTCTAAATGTCAAATAAGTGGTTTCTACTTAATACATACATGTATACGACTTAAGATATGAATGTTTTAAATGTATAGATGTAAAAATGTTCAAAAAGTATTCTCGTTTTTCAACTAAAGTGAAAATGCTTGAATAATTATTAAATCTCATTAAAGTGCTGTATATTAATGTTGATAAATAATGAAAAAGTGACAGTGTATTTTCTTTTCATTATACCCTTGCAGAGGGTATTATAATTTTGGTCAGAAGTTTGTAACGCAGTGAAGGAGACGTTTCCGACCCCATAAAGTATATATATTCTTGATCAGGATCAATAGGGGAGTCGATATAGCCATGTCCGTCTGTCCGTCTGTCCGTCTGTCCGTCTGTCCGTCTGTTTCAATACCGTTTGCGAGCTCAGTTTAAAAGCTAGCGATCTGAAACTTTCACAATCGTCCTAAAACATGTGTACGCAGATCAAGTTTGAAAATCGCCCCGATCGGACGTCTATATCCTATAGCTCCCATAGGAACAATTGGATATATCTTGCAAGAATTTATGATATTTCGCGCAGTGTAAAAGCTATTGACATTAATCTTTACAAATCGTATTTTTTTATGCATACCTTGATCAGGGTAAAAGCGCGTGGCGATCGGACGTCTATATCCTATAGCTCCCATAGGAACAACAGGGTAAAATCGGTTAAAATTTAATGATTTTTAGGATATTTCGCGCAGTGTAAAAGCTATTGACATAAATCTTTCCAAATCTTATTTTTTTATGCGTACCTTGATCAGGGTAAAAGCGCGTGACGATCGGACGTCTATATCCTATAGCTCCCATAGGAACAATAGGGTAAAATCGGTCCAAATTTGATGTTTTTCAGAATATTTCGCGATGTGTAAAAGCTATTGCTGTACATTTTTTCAAATCGTATTTTTTTATGCATTCCTTCATCAAGGTAAAAGCGCGTGCTGATCGGACGTCTATATCCTATAGCTCCCATAGGAACAATACGGTGAAATCGGTCAAAATTTCATGTTTTTTAGAATATTTCGCGCAGTGTATAAGCTATTGACATACATTTTTCAAAGTCTTATTTATTTACGCATATCTGGATTAGGGTAAAAGCGCTTGCCGATCGGACGTCTATTTCTTATAGCTTCCGTAGGAAAAATAGTTAAAGGCTGCGAAAGTATCCCTTTTTTTCTATTTTTATATGACATTTTTGCAGTATAAAAGCAATTGACATTAAACGATGCAAATCTAGTTTATTTATGTATACCTTATTCCTTTCGCTACTTTTTCAGTTATAGCAATTTCGGCAAAGTCTGCAAGGGTATTAAAACTTCGGCTTGCCGAAGTTAGCTTCCGTCCTCGTTTTATTTATATAAACTGTTTTTTATGGAGATAAACCGAATTTTACACTAATTTTACACTGGCATTTTGGCGCCATCTAGCTCTTGTTTCTCTGCCTTTGTAGCACTGAAAATGTCCCTTTTTCGAATATAAAGTGTCAGGTCCTGTTCTTCATCCCTGGCGAACAGCTGACTTCAGAAAGGACCAAACAAATAACGGGAAAATGCCGCGTCCTGTGATATTCTTCGCTGTCTGCTTGATAATTTTGTTTAATTTCGCCAATGGCTACAAGGAGCTGCACGGACTGAATGGAAAGTTATTTCCCAAGACAGCAACTTTTAATTTTCCCGAATACGCCTATAAGGAGACCAGCAAGAACGTGAGTTTATGAACGTATTGATTTTTCTTTTCCACTAATCGTTCTTGTACGACAATAAAAACCAGGAAATAACTTTCCACGAACTGGAGGTGACCTGTGGAGACCAGTGCGAGAACATCAGTCCCGTGGGCGTGGCCAAGATCAACTGCATCCGGCAGTGCATTTCGCCATCCTGCTACCAGGACATTTACGCCTTCAACGAGCTGGAGGAGGGCGAAATCGATGCCAGGCTTAACTCCTTCAAGGGCTGCGTTATCCAGCGCATGTAGCAGCGACCTCAGTTGTTAAAGGAGTACTTCATCTTTAAATGGCTAGAATTCACCGGCATCACCTATTAAATCCATATAATGTTTGTCTGTGCCAAGGGCCTGCATTTAAAGGACTTTTGACGGCTTGGGCAGATAGCTAATTTGCAGAGTATTTAAATAAATATTACACAAATTGTACTTTTTCACCGTATCTGCGATCAAAAAACGGTTTTTAATTTTAAAGCCAAATTTAGAAATACATTTTTCACAAAAATAAAATCGAATATTTTTATTTAAGAATTTTATTTTAAACCCAGAACTATATCTTCGTCAGATAATATTACAAAATTAGAGATTTTGTATATCATTGCAAAGGATATTATAATGATTGCAAAGTTTGTGCCGCAGTAAATTTCTAGCCCTATTAGGTAGCATTTATGGCAATTTGATATAGCCATGTTCTTTTGTAGGTCTGTTTGTCTTAAAAGCTGTCTTAGTAATGATCGGTAAAAAATTGTTAAATTTGCTGTTCTTGTACTTGTATTTCTCGCCGTTTTCGTTTAATAAAAATATAGTTAATTTAGGTAAGAATCCGATTGGCGGAAATTGTAAGTAAACAAATTTGGTTGTATTTATTTTAAAATTAAAATTTTAAAGCAAGTTAACCAAAAACAAGGAGAAGGCAAAAATTTATTTTTGATTTTTTCGAAAACAGCAGAAAATATTGGAGGCCTAATTTATAACTTTTACAATGAAAGCCAGACTCTTACTGGAACATTCAGCTATCAAGTAAAGACTAAGTATTTCGATCCATCTTTCGGCCATCAATAAGTGCTCCTGCCACTCAGTGAAACCGACTTTGCCCAAAATGTTTTATTGGAAACCAATAGATTCAATTGCATGAACACGGAGTAAGTGAAGCGGGGAAATTGTAGTGTTGAAACAGTTACAACGGAAATTTCCGAAGGAAAATACAATTTAACTTTACGACTCTTGTGCCTATGACAGCAATTGGCGGTAGCTCTCCCTTTCTGCGATTCCCTCCGATATATTAACCTTCTGGTATTCGTAGATCAATCAAGCCAAATCAAGCGTGTTGTATTACTAAACTGCCCACCCATCCGCACATACCCGCCCACACCCACACGCACACAGGCACGCATATTTGTGCTAGTGCGGCGTTTAAGTTTAGTTCGGTAATTAAAAGCCAAATGCTCATAAAACGAAAATTTATTAGCATTGTCTAAGCGAGTGTGTGTTTGTCGAGCACACAAACTATGTCACTTGGCTGTGCGTGTGTACTACAATTGCACATGGAAGAGGCGTGGCGAAAAGGGCGGCTGGGACATGTGGGTGTTGAAATCCCTATGGATTTTTAATGTGCTTAATTTGAGTGACAGCTCCAAAATGGGCACGATCGATTTCTGTGTGCTAACACGCCCCCTGCCCCGCCCCTTTTCAAGCGAATGTCAATGTCCACACACACAACCACACGGAAAGAAAATGACACCAAAATTGTCCATTTTTGGTATATGTTTTTATTTTGCATACTACCAACGCCCGCAAATTGTATGAAACGGAGTTACATATTTATTGCATACTTTTTGTCATCTTCTTAAAAGATTTCAAATCACAAAAATCTTTTTTTTACGTTTCTATTTCTTTTACATTAAAAAAATGGATGTTTTTTTTTGCACGTGAAAAACAAGTTAATAATGTAGACTTCAGATCTTAGGACTAACAATCTTCTTATTTTGATGGTATAAGTAAAAAATAAAATTTTAAATTATTTCATCATGTTTATACATTATCTTCTGAATATTACCCAATTATACCTAAAAATAAATAAATCTTTGATGACATTTACAGTTATTTTTTTTACTAAATATGTTCTTCTCTGTGTACGATGAAATTGAGATGACAGTATAGAACTGATAACGACAATTTCTTTCAGCTCGCAAGCCCTGTTCTTATCAATTACAGGAATTACATTTATTTCCATCTGCATATATGCAAAACCATGTGTGACGAAACCCAAATTCCGTACTGAGCTCAGTTCATCTCATCTAATTTCTGGCTGCTAATTCAGACGAGTGTGGCGCAGCCTTTGGAATTCTCCTGGCAAGCACAAAGTAAATTCATAATTAATACATTTGCAAAGAGTGATAAAGAAAGAGAAGCGAAATTAACGCGAACGACTTGTACAGTGGGCCCTCTGTGTACACAAACAGCGAAGCAGTCGCACGCACACGAAAGCGAAAGCCAGACGGTTGGCGAGCGGCAAGCGTTTGGCAAATTAGCCAAATGCGTTATTTGGCCCGCAAGCATTTCAGTCGCTCACGGAACGTCCTGGCGTTTGGCCGCAAACACAGAAAAACCAAAAAGGCCAAGAGCCGAGAAGGTCGGGAATTCACTGGATTTGTGGATTGACTGAAAGTGAAATTCAAAACTTTAAATGTGTGAAAAGTGTGTACATAATTATCTATATATATATATATGTATAAATCTTTGGTGATCTCTTGTCCGACCAACATCTGGCCGTAATCAACTGATAAATTTATCAATTATCTAGATGTTATCAGCCAAAAGCCAAACTAATGAGATTGTCGCGTTTGTGTCGCTGTGTGTGCAACAAGTCTGTGATCTGACATTGGCTTGTCCTGTTCACCCGGCGCGAACTAATCAAATAAATACGCCGGTTAATTGGGAAATGCATATTAATGAGGCGCTGCCAGTAACTCCGCCCACGCTTTATGCCAACCATTTCCCATTTCCCACCTACCACCACCCACACCCCACCTCAAATCACCCATTGCAGAGTTCACTGGCAGCTGTTACCTCTGCGCAATTCACCTTTCTGTTTTTATGACCCATTACTTTGGTCCCCGTTGTCTGGATGGCACCGCCAACATTTTGATGAATCATAGACAGTCGTGCGAAAATCTAATATCCCCAGTTGCGTTTATGTTTGCACTTAATCCGCGGGTTCAGCACTTCGATTAGTCAGTTCGGCCCCCCCTCCCTCAACCAAATGCCTTTTTAATTTTATATCAGAATTTTCTAAATATTTCCCAAGCAAATGTGGCAAATGTGTGTGCGGCGTGATAAAACAATAGCAACAAAATAAATAAAAAATACATAAGCGAAAGATCAGATTCATATGCCGAAATGAAAGTACCCTTGCAAATCTATGTTATGGATTGTAAGATTGCGAGACGTTAAGACTATTTTATTCAACTGAATAACTCTATGTAGATATTATAGAGAGGAATGAATTTTCTTGTTCTATTATTTTTTAAACTATAGACACCGAAGAAATTAAAACAAAATATACCGCAAACTTTTCAATTAATACTGGTGAAATATGAATTGGCGGCGACCGAGAAGGGCGAAATGGAAAAAGTTTCTTGTTTCATTAAAAAACAAACTCCTTTTAAATTGAATAAATCGACATATTTCTATGGTATCCATAAGATAACACCCTCTACCAGGGTATAACAAATAATAAATCCGAAAAGTATGAGCCAAAAGAAATAAAAAATGTAAGGCATTGAAAGAATTTTCGCCCTGCCGACATTTGTGTACTTTAATCGACAACACAAAAGAAGAACAACAGAAAAAGTTGAGAAAAAGTATCGCGCATACGCTACGTTGACTATTCCGCACCGCGTAGAGCGTTTGGTGCGGGGGGCAGTGGTTGGGGAAGTGGGCGGCGTTTTCGATGGGGGAAGTGGGCGCACCAGCATCAGCATCTCAGGTTGGACAGGGCCGACGAACGACAGCCAACTGTCAGTTTGTAATCAACGCGTGCCAACAGCAGCAGCGGCTGCTGTGCGTGTGCATAAAAAACTTATAGGCCTTATACCTTTAAACCCCTCTACCCCCGCACTCCAGTTCGATTCCGTGACCTATAACCCATCGATGGGTAACAAATGGCGGCATTACAATGCTGACGAAAACCCATTGTGAGAAAGTCAGAGACTAATCACTTAACTATTTATAAAGCAACGCACATGCAAGTGTACACAGAAAACAATGTGAATTTAATTTTTTTTTAATTTCAATATACAAAAAGTGGTGAATTTTAAAGTGAAAACCAAGTATGTGTTTCAAAAAAAAAAGCCTAAAATAAAATCCATCTTAAATGAGAAAACACGAAATGCTTACAGAATAATTTGCAAACTCAATAACTTCAGTCAAAGTGATATAAGTGAAGCACATAATCATTTTCCTGATGTATTAAAGGACAGGAATATAATAAAAAATTTACATTTTGCGATATAAAAAGATCAGTGAAGAGACTTTTCGTTTAAAATAAGCCCAAGCTTTATAACATATTATGTGATACCATTTTAATTAAGCGTGTAATATTATTATGTATTTGAGGTGTTCCTTAATCCAGCACTATTAAAGTGTTATTTCGGACCGCAAATTAGGTATTTTATGAGCTACTTATACTTAATATAAAATTTGTCATAAAATGTTAATCTCATTGGGATATCGCTTAATTCTATTAATAAATCAGTTCCATGGGAAAATGGAATACATCTTATTTCTGATTAATTATATATGTAGATCGATATCTATTACGATCCCCATTTTTCGCCGTGCATTGTGAGAGATACTCGTATTCGAGAGATGCAGTTCTGAGTACTCGTACTCTCGGTGCCAGAGTGTGTACTCAAGCTGTTTGTCTTACGGGTGTGGACGAGCAGACTTCAGATGGGGAGCCGGAGACTGGCTGTAGTGTCATCCGATCGAAGGTCGTCCAGCACTGAGATTCCCATTCCGATTCCGATTCTGATTCTGATTCCTCAGGCGTAGGAATTCCTCTGGGGGAACATGTGCCTGATTTATTTATTTCCAAAACTTTCGAGCGATCCCAAACAGAGCAATACGAAAACAGCTGAAAATACGCTTTTCGCCCGAGACTATTTGCCGGCTGGTCCGAAATTGAATTGTAAATGGCAATATTAATTGGAAATCATTTAAATTTTTTTTCCTCGTTCGGTCTATGCATGTTCGGCGGCATAATTTATGGGCGCTAATTACTTTCGCCCAGTTGTATTTCGTGTGCTGTCCAAGGCCAATTACGCTTACTTATTGCAATTTATGTGGCCGCCGTCCGGCCGTAATTGGAAATTGTGTAAGGTCGCAGGCAATTCCATTATTTGTATGCAGTTCTGGTCTCCGGTCTCCGGTCTCTGGTCTCTGGTCTCAATGCGTCTACCGTTTTTCTAATGACGCCACCATGCCGCGAACCCAGCCCAGTTTGTGTAGCCATTTGATTAAGTGACCTTCTCGCCAACGCAGGATCAATTTGTTCATGTCGAATGCGGTTCGACTAAGCTGCACTCTTAGAGCCTGAGTTATCCGCCGCAATGACGTTGGAAAGCGGTTTGCAACATCCGGATGCCAATGCCATGAGGCTGTATTCCAGGTTCCTGTCCACCGCACTGACTGTGGCCACTGGGAACAGCTCCTCGGATGGCGCCGTGCTCCTCATCCAAGCTACTGCGGCTCCAACAGGCGAAATAACAACGTCTAATGGAGCCGGCACAGCCCTCAAGGTGGGTGTGCCCTCGATGAACTCCTATCTGGTCAGCATGGCGTGGCCCAAGTCACTGGCGGTGGCCGTCTTCCTGGTCATCATCCTTGTCACCGTGGTCGGTAATACACTCGTCATCCTCGCCGTTCTGACCACACGCCGCCTGCGAACCGTCACCAACTGTTTCGTGATGAACCTGGCCATCACCGATTGGCTGGTCGGAACGTGCGTGATGCCCCCCTCGGTGGTCCTCTACATAACAGGTGAGCTTGCCCATCGACGGCTGAAGATTTATGGCTTTGTGGGGGCATTACACTCCCAAGGCAGGAGGAATCGCGGCAAGTGTTTACTATTCGGACCTCTCCGGTGGAAGTTCGTATAGTAAACATTTGCCGAAATCAACAGGGAGCACAATTGTTCGATTCCAAACAAAATAATACCATACAAAATTATACAATTTCAAATTTGCAAAAAATATACAACTTTTTGCTTGCAAACATCTTGTCTCTGGTAAGAGTTTTTTATTCATTTTCGTAGAACTTTATTTGATACATTTTCTGAAGAAGGAAATTTTGATTGCCTTGATTTGTACATATTTTATATGGGTTTTATTGCGATAAATGTTGTTTAAAAAAAGGAAAAAAGTTGTAGGGCACATGCCGCTTAGATCTGGATCCAAATCTTAATCTCACAAACCGCATTTTGATCAAACCGAATTTTGTAGTGAAGTGATCAAAGAATTTGACAAATAAAATGTCTTTTTACCTTATTCTCATTTTTACCTCATTAATTGTTATTTATTATTTTTATATTAGTTTCAATTAAATTTGTTTAATTTTTCTAAGAAATCAGGGTCTTGTTCAATATGGGTAGTTTTATTCTACTATTAAAAATCTTCAGAAAATAATTATAAGGGCAAAGAATAAAAAAAGTAAAGACTTTATGTCAGCAGCCCAACAAGGGTAATAATAACTTTAACCATCCAGGAAACCATTTGGAGTAATATTACTTGAACAAACTGCCAGTGTAATGCCCCTTAATCCCGACCAGGTGCACAAGTCGAGTCAGGTGAAGCATGGCCACAAATATTTTTACTCCGCAGGCACTTGGCGCTTCGGCTGGATACTGTGCGACATTTGGATCTCGCTGGACATCCTGCTCTGCACCGGCTCCATCCTCAGCCTGTGCGCCATCAGTCTGGACAGGTGAGTTGCCCACTAATTTCTTAATTTGTCGTTGATGTCATAGCTATGGCCATAGACCGTGGTCCTCAGTCCTCAGTCCTCATTCCTCACTCTTTAGTCCTTAGGACTTAGCCAGAGAACCTAGGCAAGGTGCAAAAACTGTGCAAAATAATTTATTTGTTGACGTTTTTATTGCCCCATGACCGTTGTCGTGGCCATTGCCAGTGCATACCCTTTGAGTGTCCGACGCCACAATGGCAAGGATTGGGTTGGGCTGACACGGCTGGGGTTGGGCTCCCCAGTTCCTACTTCCCACTCTTCATTGCTTTTGTTGGAAGTTTCAATTACATTTTAATGGCATTTCCAAGTTTTGTGTTGTGGCTCCGGCTCCAACACACCGAGTTGAGCTGATCCAGCTGAGCCGCAGGACCGAGGACCGAGGACCGAGGACCATGGACCTGCAATGACACCAACTGCGTTGTGTTTGCCTTTTGGCCCGGCCAGAAAGCCGCCGGCGGCTTTGCGAACAATATGTCCGTTTGGCTTTTGTTTTTTCACTATTTCAGTATTTCTCTGGCCCTTTCAGTTGCGTTTATTGGCCTGGCTTTTTTATTTCGCAGGTATCTCGCCGTCACACAACCATTGACGTACTCCAAGAAGCGGCGCTCCAAGCGGCTGGCCCTGCTCATGATACTCGTCGTGTGGATAACGGCCCTGTCAATCACGTGTCCGCCCTATTTGGGCTGGTAAGTAAGGCTCCATCTGCACAGAAAACAAATATTATTTTAAATCATGATCGATTTGGCATCCCATTATTATTTACCATTGCTTTTTAGAGCCTTCATTTAGAAATTAAGTTTACATGTATTCATAAGGATTAAAAGTAAAATAAATTCACTAAAAGCGATATAAAAAACGTATTCGGCTGTGTCTTATGAATTTCTATAAATTTATGATTAAAAACAAAATACATTCATTTAGAATCGATGTTCAAAGCTTGATAGTCAATTATATCTAAGAAATCCATTTTAAATAATACCTAATAATATCCTTAACAGTAAGAATCAACTAAAAACCATGGAAAAAGAATTTTCAAATTCCTTTTTTATAACGTTGGAACAAGTAACATTTATCCAAGTAATGTTAATATAATTTCATAAGTTTGTGTTCATTTAAATTCATGTTTATTTTTAGTGTACGGCTTTCGTTTTCACTACTTTTCGCTTCCGGAGGCGTGACAAATTTTGCGTGGCCTTTTGTAGCTTCTGTCTTATATCTTTTTGTTTTTTTGGCCCACTATAGATAATGTGTTGCGAAAGGTCCCGAAACACATACGTTTATTTATTTTTGTGCCTCCAGCTGCGCCTAAAAAACATTACGTAATTGCGCAAGTTTTTGCTGTTGTCCTGCACCCATTACATTGAAGTTTTAATGAGTTGTTAATGACTTTGTTTGCTGCGGCGCATTTGCTTTGTTTTCACCTACTCACACATTCACAAACTCGCAACCGAAAGCCGCACACTTGGCTGTTGCATACTTCCAGGCGCCCAAATTAACCAGCACTCACTCACACTCACTCACACACACACACACACACACACCACAAAGTCAGCATGTCCTCAATGCTCCTGGCCATGGCTTAGTTGTAGCCCCCTAAAACATGGCTTAGAGGGCACATTAGAACGGGCTGAGGCCGAATTAAAGCCACAGCTGCAGGGCATTGGAAAATTTCGAAAATTTGTGCTGGGGGAAAATCGCAATTATAACGAGCAGCAGATGTTGCCGCTTTCAATATTTCAGTTCTTTAAGCCGAATAGTTTAATAAAAAAAGTTTGCAAATGAAGTGAGGCAAATGTTTTAGAGGTCACCGGTTTGGTTGCATGAAATTTAATTGAAAATTGAACTTTTAATTTATTTTATTTAAAACTTGCTGATAGGAAAATTTATAATTTAAAACTAACTTCGGTTTTGTTTGCTTACTAAACAAATCTGTGGTATGTAAACATAACTTTTTTAATTTTTGCAAAGTGATTTATACCTGGTTATTTTCCATACAATTTTTTTAATTAGTTTGGAAAATATGACATGCCTGCATAACAATAGACAAAAAAAAATATTTCTATTTTGGTCAGGATAATTTTGCTATCAGTACATATAATTAGCGGGCAACAATGCTTTTATGGTGACAAACATTTACGGTCACCAACGGATAATTCATTGCTGCGACAATAGTATTACAGCCCCGGGAAAATTCCATTGTGGGCGACATTTTACCTATTTGTCATTCATATCCCCAAAGTGCCCGTCATTCCACCATAGTTGGTTGATCCAGTTGGCTAGGGTAGACCAAAACCCGCCGCTTCACTTCGTTATCTTGAAAACTGTTCCTCAGGTATATTGATTTAAAGTCAGCTCCGATTTGTGTTGGCTGAATGACCATCACGAGGAGATGTGCATAAATAAAAGGATTGCAGAAGGGACTCCGACTGGCTCTGGCTTAGGATTTGAATTCGAATTTCACCTTGCTTAACTCAGCCCGTTGTCATTCCCAAAAGTCCCCAGTACCCAGTACCATAACCGCAGTCCCGACCGCAATCACAACTGCAGAGCCCACCGAACCACCAACATTGTACATCCCACATCCTACTACCAAGAACCACATGCGATTCGAACTGGAATTCAATTTGCCATTCACAGGTACGAGGCGGGCAGGCATCAGGCGGAGTTCGTGGACTGCCGCTACAACCAGAACAAGGGCTACGTGGTCTTTTCGGCAATGGGATCATTCTTCATCCCCCTCACCGTGATGCTGTACGTCTACGTTAAGATTGGCTATGTGCTCACATCACGGCGGCAGCGCATTGTGCGCGATGCGGTAAGCTCCATCACTATCTACCCCTCCGTTCGTTGAAATGTCTCCTGAAATTTATCATGTCACACCATCCAGCCAACTAACCACGCCGACTAACTTGTCATGCACTGGGAAAATACCTTTATCTGGCGTCGGGCACCAAGAACTTTATCCCAGATTGTTTAAGCCCTTAAATGTACATCTTCAAGCAGGATTAAACACTTATCAATTTAGAGTATCAGCATTAATTTGTAGTCCCATTTTATCACAAATATACCCTTGAACTTAAAGTTCTTATCGCTAAGAATTGAAAGTGATATCTTAGCGTTGTGCTATGATAAAAAATCATTACATTATTTTATATATAGATACAATATTTTGTTTATTTTTATTGTTATTATCAGGCATAGAAAACAAATTGAAGTTTTGGCCTTAAATGAAGTAAAGTTTCGGCTACAAAAAGAGTTCGCTTAACATATTTTATTACAATTAAACCAATTATACAAATGTCTTAAAAAGTTATACTTAATTTTAAATTCATTTTTGTTAGTACTCAAAATGTAATCCTAATGAAGTTGCATTTCAACAAATCAAACATAGCTTATATTTATATTTTTATACATTTAAGACTCATTTGCTCCAAAGTGAACATTAAAGCCGCTAAAGTTTTCCTTCAAAATGTAAGCCTAAAGAGAAATGAGAAAAATGGGAATAAGTAATTAAAGCAAACAGTCTCTATTCCCAGACATGCAATCTAAATTATTCGTTCCTTTTTTGTCAGTGCTTCTACATTCTTTTCCATTATTTCCACCAGAACTCGGAGCGCACGGCAGACTACGATGTGGACGGGGACAACTTCATCTCCGAGTCGGAGCACTATCACTGCACGCCAACCAAGTGGCTGCCGAACAGGAAGTCCCGCTGGAGATTCAACTCGCTGCACGACCCATCCAGCACCACCGCCGCTGCCACGAACATGACCAAGGGACACCAGCCGTCAGTCAAGTGCCCCAAGTGCTCCTCCACGACAGCCGGAGTCCCGGTGGCGGACAAAACGCTGACGTTCAAGCACCAGCCCACTTTTTACGAGCTGGTCGAGGTGTCGCGTCTCTCCTCGCTCATCCACTGCTCGGCAATTAGCTGCAAGTACGGCGGACCCTGCATGCACTCCACGCCCTCGGGAATGCACTACGTGGGCACGGAGGCCTCCTTCACGGACACCTGCCTGGGTGCCGCCTCCGCACTGGAGGCCACCGATAAACTGGAGGCGGAAACCCACTCACAGCAGAAGCAGCAGCAGCAGCAGCAGCAACAGCGATCCTTTGACCTGCCACATGGCCATCAGCATCATCATCATGGCTCCCAGAACCATCACAACCACCATCATCGGATGCCGATGCGAGTGTCGACCACGAAACGTGATAGCAAGACCGCCAAGACCCTGACAATTGTGATGGGCGGCCTAATTGCTTGCTGGCTGCCCTTCTTCGTCTATTATCTGCTGATACCCTTCCTGCCGCCACCCGCCGTCCTCCAGGACCTCATGTTCGGCTTCACCTGGATTGGCTGGGTCAACTGCGCCATCAACCCCTTCATCTACGCCTTCTACAACCCGGACTTTCGCACCGCCTTCTGGCGACTCACCTGCCGGCCCATCTGCAAGCAGAAGCGTCCGCCCAACCACCTGGCCATGTTCCGTGGCTAGTTCCCAGGTGCTGGATCATGGAGCACTTGAGGGTGTCACAGTCACTAGTCGCACAATCGAAGCTCAGTTTGGTGGGTGGGCTACTTACAGGAAATATCTCAGGCATATCTTTCACCCTTTCCCTTTTGCCGCTTCACAAACTTTCAACTTCTCACAAAAGATTCAAGAAAGTTTTAGGACCTGGGCTCAGATCACTGGGAAATGTAATTGCAGAAGGCTTTTGGTCTGACTTCTTTGCGTCTCTCAGAAATGCTAATAAAAGTCACATTTCAATGCCTTATTTTACAAATGAATGGAGAAGAAATGCCAATAAAATAATGTATTTAGAGTAATTATTATGGAAAAACAATTAATTACTTTTTATTCAAAATATTAAGATTGAATTCAGTTTGTTCGTAAGCTTTGTTCTTTTTTATTTAACTTAATATGAAATGGTTTAATAACAATTAAATATAGGCCAAAAATTTAATGATTATAAAGTAAGCTTTTATTTTCCCAAAAAAAAAAAAACAAATAACAATCATTGATAACTAAGTCTTCGCCGCCGAAAACTGAAAGTAATATTTAAGCAAACTAAAGCCATTCTGTGACCTTTTAACGAAATCTTGGCTAGTACCTTAATGCATTGAGTTTCTCAACTAGTGTTGATTTTTCGAAGATCTTAGTTTTGTGTTACACTTGTACCATGCCAAACGCAGCTACTAAAACTCAGATACTTTCAGTCAATATTGAATCGAAGATGACTGCCTTGTTAAGCCAGAAAGATACCCTTTGAGGCTTCGAAAGCCTCTTGCTGAGCAGTGGCTTTAAGGCCACTTCATGGCAGTAGATTTAAGGTCACTTCATGGCAGTATCTTTAAGACCCAGTGGACTTGGCCGGAAGTCGAGTTTCTTTCCTATGCCAGACCCCAATCCAATATAGTATATTCGTGTGTGTGCGTGAGCGTTGATTGTGCGAGGAACGAAACGAAACAAAAGACAAATTATAGTATTTGCGAGTCTTTGTTGCCTGACGGCAACTGTTGACCGTCAGGATGAGGAGGATGCTGATGATGGTGACGAGGCTCCTGTTGCCTCATCCCCATCCCCATGCCTTTGTTGTGTGCGTCTAGTGTCTAGTTTGTGTGTAGTGTGCAGTGTGCAGGATCTGGAGCTGCCAACGACATTTCTGGCGTATCCTTTGTTGGCCAAGTCCGGTCAAGAGCGGCCTAGCCCCGCAGGCACGGTACACGTACACAGTGTCCGGCCAACCCATTTAATGTTTAGGCAATCGCACGGCGCACATGCGAAAGCGAAAGTGAAACTGTAACTAAAACCGGGGAGGACTTGAAGCTGCACTTGAGCCTGCTGGGATTTTAAAAGGCCTCCAGATCCTGCGACCTCCTTTGTCCACTCACACTACACACGCTCGTTAAGCATTTTAGCCAAACTAATTTGTATAGTTGTATTATACTTGTACCCTAAATGTGTATGTACTTTATAAATGTTCACTTGGAATGGATCTCTGTAAGGACAAATCGGCCAGCCGAAAGAGTTCGAGTAATAAAAAATTTAAGTTCAATTTAAAGGCAGTTTTATTGTGAAGGAAAAGGTAGAGATGGGGAGGTGACTATGCCAAAAATATAAAATATGCCCACAACTCACAGCGGTGGTTTTTGTGCAGTCAGCTATGAATTGTCACACAAAAGTTTTATTGACAAATTTCTGAACACGTATTTTTGTTCAAAATAAAGTTAGTAAGTGTTCTGTGCGATACATGAAAGAAAAATGTCAATGAAAAAACACTATACACATAGAGACATTTTTTTTATATATATTTAAAAGTACTTGTACTGCTAGTTATTGGAAAAATAAGGCAGCCAACGAATTTGGTCTTTAGGGATTTCCCAAATAATCTTTTAAAAGAAAATTAAAAAAGGGTGGCTGGCTCTGCACCACGCCCATTTATATCCCCCTTTTGATAAGTATCTTTAAGTATTTCAATGTCTGAACTGCAGTCCGCAGTTCGGGTGATAAAAGCTTAGCCGTACCCGTGGATAAGTCTTTATTTATTGGACAGAAGGGGAGTGTTTGGGGGAGTAGCGCACTTTGCAGCGCAGCCTTGACTTCATTTTTTTTGTGATTTATTATTGGAAGTGGTAACCCGGTGGCCGCCACTAAGTTGTTTACGGCCAAGAGGACGGAAGCAAAAGAAACGCTGAATCAGCTACGGCTTTGGACTACGGCTGTGACTCCGGTTTCCAGCTGGGACTACGGTGGCGTAACATTAATTTAGCTGGAAATAAGGCGTGAAAAAATATGCGGTCATCATAATTACATATAACCAGGGAGCCTCAAACCCCTCCCCCTCTTCCCCCTCAATTCACAATGCCGACGGCACACACATGTGACTAATATAAAAGCATGACAGGATGGGGGCGTGGCTGGGGCTGGGGGCGGGGGGTGGTTGCCATCCTCCTGCTCTCTAATGAATTGCAACACATTTCGCTGTCGCATTTCACTTTCGAGTCGAGCTCAGCGGAAACGGTCTCCCTTAATGCCGCCTGTCAACAGCCCGAAAACTCCGTACTCAAAACGCCGTTCCGTAAATTTGGCTTTTTATGGCCCGTACTTGCTGAAAAACTGGGGTGTATTGTATTCGAGGATGTGTGGCTGAAGTGAATAGAATGTACTTCGGGTCCCATTTTGTAGATACCTATAAATTAATTATGTTAAATGATCGATGGGGTCCTAATCCACTTAAATAATTACTAGATATTGAACTGTTACTCTGTGAAGATTTTATCATACCATCATCAAGTTCGAAATACTCTATTAATTATTTATTAAAAAAAATGACTTTAAAACTGAAATTAATCAAAGGCTATTATTTATGGAGCTCATTTAATTCCAGTTTAGAAGGTGTGGTAAGGATATCAAAGTTTATTTTAAAGTGTTGGATCCTATAAATATTTGTTAACAACATTTCGCAAATTAATTTTAACAGGAACTCAGTCTTGATTTTTTTAATGTTATCCAAAAGAAACAACCTTAAATATGCACCATATTTTGTGATACTCTTCTGTTTCATACCCTCCCATCGCACACCTCGTTTTTACTTGTTTCGGTTGAGTCCTTACCTTTTCGCCGCTTTGTTGGCTGATATCGTATAATGTGTTAAATTAAATGGCCGCCGTTTCAGGTGAGAACGACCGGAGGACCAAAGGACGTGGAAAAGCCGACTGCCTTCCTGTCATCCTATTTTCAGCCTCCTGTTGACAGGGTGCTTAGGCTAATGTTGTTTGTTGGCCAAAGATTTTCGGTTACGTCATCGCAGCAGTTGTGGCTTATGAACAACAAAATAAGCAACAAGAACAGCAACATCAACAAAAAGTATATATCGATATTTTTTTGGAGCATTTAACAAGTGCTCGGGACAGGAAAAGTTTTGCAAACCTCTGATGACAAATGCCCCGCAAAATGTTTTTCAAATGAACTTTGGTTTTATTTCGACTTCTTTTGTTTGCGTCGCCAAGTTGTTTTCTTGGGTAAATGAGACTACTCAAGTGCCGCCCACTCTGCATCCCAATTGGAATTCGGGCACTTGGTTTCCTGCTCAGCCGATCAATTAATGTTGGCCAAGTTGGGCTCGGGCTCAATTAGAGTCTTAAAACTCCATTTAGAGGAAGCTCAGCTGAAGCTCCCCCGCGGGATGGATGTGGGTACATGGTTTTTGGGATGTGGCAGCAGCTACAATGAAATATTCATGGCCGGATGGCGGGGTTAGCTCTCTGTATTTATGGTTATTTTCCGCACCAAACACAACTTTGCTCTCTAACAGGAGTACTCCTGCAGCTTGGGTCTTCTTTTTTTTTGTCGGTGTTTTCCCTCCAATTCGTCGGTTAAATATAAATACACACATGAACCCACACATGTGCATGACGACGGGGGAGTTCGGAACAGTACAGTACAGTACTCTGTATCTGCAGTTGCGAATTCAATTTTGAGTCTGATCAATAATTCACGTTTCCCGCACTAACCATTGTTCAGAATGCCGCTCCTAGTCCTTATAATCCGGCACCTTAAAGTGCCGAGTGCTTGAATGAAAAACAATCTCTGACTGTTCCAGAGCTTTTTGTCTTTTCGAATTGTCTATTTATTTTTGTTCGGCTCCAAAAAATATTCTGTTCGTACACACAACTATTAATATATATGCAGATTATGCGGATTATGTATTTGATATCGGCCGGGATGAGAGATGTGAGATGTGAGATGCGAGATGATAGACGGGCGTGCGATGATGAGCTCCATCCGCCGTGTTTGCTTTTCCGACGGGTCGGAAGCCCTCTCACCCGGAGCATCTGTTTGACTTGTTAGGCCTGACATGTGAGCTGAAATTCAGAAGGATTGAAGGTACCGACGCTCCTCGGAAAAAGGATGGTGTGGGATGAGCTACAGTACGTGTACGTATGCTGATGAGCGTTCGTCTGACTTAATCTGTATGTCGTAGCATTGCTTGATTGCGTTTATGGAGTTAAAAGTAGATTGCTTCGTACAACATGAAATTTTGTCCTATTTGGGTTAGCTTAGCTGTTGATGGCCTGAATAAATTATACCTTAAATTACATGTTTTAGTACCTCATTCGCACATACTCTTTCACTTCGTCACACACACACACTGTACACTCTATTAAGACTAAAGGAAAACTCTTGAAGTTCCAGACGACTGACTCCAACTATAAACTAAATCACAGTAACTGTTTTTAACTGGCATTCCGATAAAGCTGATTAAAGCTAATGCTCGACTTGATCCACCCTTTGGTTTCCACTGATTTCAGAACCTATATTAGGTATGTAAATCAATCAACTTCTATCTCTGGAGTTTATGGTGCCTTGATATCAGCCATAGGATATAGAGATATATATTTGCCAGCACTAAATTCAAGTGCGATAGGGACTGGCTGCATCGTAAATTGGCAAAGGGAATGCGGAACTCGTTTGGACGTCGGTCGGGGTCACCACGGAAAGGTAACCGCCCACCCCACAAGCACGCGGCTGAATTTCAGAGTATGAGCAATGTGCGCAATTTCGGTGAGCCATATAAACAAGTTTTCTCATCCATCTAAACTGTCTATGCCAGTGGCCAAGTCGGGTTGTCTCGGCGCCCCAGCAAAAAGCCAACATCCAAGGAAATGTTGCCAGTTTAAAGGCGCCGCCCGCTGGTCGGAAAAGTCGCACGGAAATTACTAAATCGATACGTGCTGCCGCGTATCAGATTTTTCATGGGTTCCGCATGCAAAATTCTGGCTGCAGAAATACCTCGAAGTCGTGGCCTGCAGTCGCTTATATGTATTGCAATTTGTTCACAGTTGAACTTCCGTAAGTCGAACTTCGCAAAGTCAATTTTGTGTTACGGAAACGAACTCTTCAAAACTCAATAGTTGAAGTTCTTATTCTTTTCACTTTTCAATGATAAACTTTCGATCTGAATTGTGGCTGAGCAAGAATCTTATAAAATTTCTTTAAGAACCTAATTTATTTCGATTTCTGCTATTAGATAGATAAACCTGTACTTAGTATGTGCTAATATATTTTACATATTATTTGTTGTTCTATATTATAGACTGTTTGTCTTAATTATTTCCATGTCTTGAGAATCTAAAACTGAGTACAGTAATATCTAATTCAAACCTAATAGTAATTTATAAGTTTCAAAAGAGCCTGAGAAGCTTTAAGCTAATAATTATTTTCTCAATTTAATTAAATGATTGTGAGTGATTGACTTAGAGAAGTTCAACTGTGGACTGCCTATGGATGTGGGGCAGTTTCTATAGGTCAACTGAAACCAGTGAAATTCCTGGTGGACGAAAGTCGACCCTTAAGTGGCAAAATGATCCAGAATCGTAAGCAAACCCTGACGATGAAATAAAATATACGCAAAACAAGAGAACAATTACACATGGCCATTGGGTGGACGTGTTGTGGAGGTGCAATTACGGACCACACCTTGTCGCTCGCCTAAAGTTAATGAATACGTTAATAATATGTTATGCGCTGGCAATTTGTTCAGGGCTTGAAGGGGTGAGTGTTGAGAGGGGTGGGGGGTCCTGGCCTGCTCCCCTATCGCCTGATGGACATCGTGTTCGTGGGGAACTGCGGCTTCTGACCGGCGCTGAAGAACCGCTTGCAGGTGAGGCGCCAGAAGGCCGCCCGGAAGTCGACGCTGTAGAAGGCGTAGATGAAGGGGTTAATGGCACTGTTAAACCAGCCCAGCCAAGTCAAAGCCTTGGCCAACATTTGGCTGGCCTGGTGCTCGGCCAGAAACGGGGTGATCAGATAGTTGATGAAGAAGGGCAACCAGCAGGCAATGAAGCCACCCACCACAATGCTCAGTGTCTGCGTGGTTTTGTTCTCCTTCTTCAGCGACGTAATCCGATTGGACAGGGACTTGCTGTTGGTGTTGGCACTGGCATTGCCGCTTGTCGTGGTGGCGGTCACACCCGCCTGATGATGATAATGAGGATGGTGGTGATGGCTTCTCAGCCGCTCCCGATCCCGATCCCCGTGCGAGTGCCGAAAGCTATGTGGGCGCGGTGGCTGTGACAGAGAGTGGGTCTGTGTCTGGATCTGCGACTGGGCCTGGTTGTGACCCGGGGGCTGGGACTGCCACTGGGCGTCCAGGAGACCGCTGCCCGGCCCCATGCCACTTGTCATTGTGGTGATGGTCGTCGAGGCGGTGGAAGTGCGCTTCAGCGAGGAGGGCCGTGTGAGTTCATAGCAACCGTTCTTGGCACAGACTCCGCTGGAGGGCAGGGCCAGCAGGGATTGACAGTGGGTGGTGGCACTAGCTGCTGCTCCACCTCCTCCTCCTCCTCCCCCGCCGCCTGCACCCACTGGAGCACAATTGTCGCTGTCGCTCAGCATCATGTCGTGCAGCTCCTTGGCTATCGTCTGGTTGGAGAAGGTGCGCGAGGTGGCCTGCCTCTGGCGGTGGCCCACGGAGCTGTGCTGCTCCTGCTCCGACAGCTCGTTCTCCACGTCCGCCGCCGTGTAGCGCTTGAATTTCTAGACACGCAAAGTGCACAAGGCGGTTAAGTCAATGCGGATGATAAATAACTAAAATGAAGTCAATGGGCGGTAAAAGCGGTAGAAGATGAGCGAGGGGACGTTGGTGGGGGAAAAGCGGTTGTCACGCGAGGAAAAGCCGAAGCTTTAAGCACTCTTGAAGGCATCTTCCTTTAAAGGAGACATGTGGTTTAGCACTGAATTGTAAGCTCCCTTAAAGCTGCACACACACTTAAATACCCTGGCAGCTTTGTTCTATAAGCTGTATGATGTGATAATCTCTATAAATTTTAGGGCCAGATTTTGTGGAAAATGTAGCACACCTTTAATTCACTAGAAATGTAATTGAAGCCCATTTGAAACCACACACCAAGCATCAGTAAATGCAGTTTTCGAAGCACATTCCGTTTAGTGTTAGCTATTTAGTGAGGAATTACAAACAGTTTGAAGTCGGAGATGCAAATACCTTTTTTAAAGAAGAACTGTATTTTCTAGAATAATAACGAACAGAGAGTAAATTTTAGGACACATTTGGAGATTGGAATCATTTTAAGTCTTAAAAGCTTTAAACTCTTGGGTGTAAAACTACCATTTTTGAGAAAGTGTAGTTGAAAACTCATTATATGGGGTAGCAAAAGTTAAAGTGAAAAACTTATTTTATAGCGCGCTCTAAGCCGGACAAGCGGAAGTTGGATGTATACCCGGGTTTGCCAGGGTATGGTATTTAAATCTGTGTAAGCTCCTGGCGCTTGGGAATTATGAAGCAAACGTGCCGCAGTTTGTGCCGTACGTGGAGTGGCCTTTAAGCCGGAATGGGTTGGAATAGAGATGACTTGGGGGCTGCCCAGCTGTTGTTGTTTTACAGCTGCAGTGGTTTCCATATTCCGTATTCCGTATTTGTGCACTTTGTTGGCTTTGGCTGGGAAAGGGAATCGTTGGCGGGTGGGGGTGTATGGAGATGTTTGGTGGAGAAGGAGAGTGGGTGCTTACCTTGTTGTGAACACTTATGTCGGTCATATTGTCGTGCCTGGATGCAATGACACAGGAAATTCTTGCATACACATAAATCATGACTGCCATGGGTATGAAGAAGGAGCCCATCGCCGAGAAGATGACGTAGCCCTCGTTTTGGTTATACCGGCACTCCCGCAGGTCCCTTCGTCCCGGCTCGTACCTGCAGGAAATGAGCATGATACAATTAAGGGGCCACGGAGTCCACTAATGCAGGAAGTTTACAATTATTTGCTACCGCAGAGGGTCACAAGGGCACACAATTGCCACCTAATTACGTTCGTTTGTTCAACCAGGAGTCAAAAGGCAGTATATTCGCCGTCTCGAATTTTATTTTAATTAATTTACATGCTTTTACAAAATATAAGTTCAGGTATCTAACGGCTGAAAGGCTAATAATTGACTGAACATTATGACGTTTCTTATTAAAATCTTATGACAGAAACTGTCATCCCCTGAAACGTTCAAAAATTCCTGGAACTATATTTAATCAAAAATTAATGGACCAAATCTTAGAAATCCTTGAACGCTTTGAGGGTCATAAACGAGTACAATAAATCGTTTCGTTCGTTTAGTGAGGATTAAAGAGTCGTCCTGACAAAATTTGTGTTGCCAAAAGAAAACCCATTACCAACAATTGTAAACGAAATCTTGTAATAGGTAAACGTAACCAAGAATATACAAAAGGCCCTTTAATTTATTTGCTTATTTAGTTAGGAGTCAGACGACAAGGGTCTCTGCACTCAGCCAAACTTTAGTTAACTAAAAAAGTGACAAATTTAAATCGGTTACAAAATTCAAACCACAATTTAATTTACAATAGTTTGAAACTAGTTATTTAGTTTAATTTAAACTGCAATTCACAACTATTATATCCGTTAGTTTAAAATGAATTCAATGCTAATATTATTTCTGTGGGCGGCAGAAACACATAATATTCGTTGACATTTTATGAATTGGTAAAAGTTCTGAGTGTACTTACCAACCCAAGATGGGGGGGCATGTGATGGCCAGGGCCAGAAGCCAGACGATTAGGATCATGATTAGGGCCAATCGTTTCGAGCGTCGTTTACGGGAGTACGTGAGCGGCCTGGTCACGGCCAAATATCTGTCGGATGGATGCAAAGATGCAAAGATTTACGATTCGGGGGAATATGTTACGCGTCCCGGCGGCTTCTCACCTGTCCACGCTGATGGCGCACAGGCTGAGAATCGAGGCCGTGCAGAGGAGCACGTCGAGGGAGATCCAAATGTCGCAGAGAACCCAGCCCAGTTGCCACGAGCCTGCAATCAAGATTCCAAATTAAAAACTTTCGCCAGCCGGAGCGGGCAGCAACTTAAAATTCCGGTCCAAAGTCAATTTGATTAGCAACATTTTGCCGGGCTTTCAGCAAATGCCTCACCTAGGGCCAATTAAAGCGGCCGTTGCTCGGCAAATTTTGGCAACGTTTCTGGTCCATGTCGCCCTCAACCCCTGCACATAGGCCCCGTTAGTGGTTTACTTATACTCCAAGACCTCGACTACTCCACTGGACCTCAACTCTTGCTACCCGCTCGATGGCTTTGAATTTGTGGCCACTTTGAGCAGTGGCTGCTGGTTTGCAGCCTGTCGACCGATTAATTTTTTAATCAAGTACCCCTCAATGGTCTCCGAGCGCCAAATGAAAACTTGTTTTTGTGAAAGTCCAGAATAAAGGAGCAAGAAAGGAGCTAGCTCATTAGACGGAGATTGCCTGTGGGCTGCACACAAGGATTGGCTCAATGAAAGGATGCAGTTTTGTTCACCGTTCAAGTCACGAGGTCTTTTAATAAATTAATATAGGCACAAAATGTGTAGTAAATTAAGAGGATATTGTAATTACTAAAAACAAGCTCACAGTATAGCAGCTATTGATAAATTCCTGAATTTAATATATTATATTTGTTTCGTATTTAAGCCCCTGCTCTGTAACAAAAAGCCACTGCAAAATAGCCTCAGGATATACATTTGTGATAATCAAGCATATTTATTTAAACTTTAAATGTAAACTATTAATGCTGTGTGTGAGGTAAAAGCCTACTTTAAATTTATAATGAAAACATTGGAGAAAAATGATATTATTGTTTGGCGCCTTAATTTGTTTACCTTGAAAATACCTAAAGGCATGAGTAATTATGACTGAGATTCGAACGAAATTTCCACAGAGAAAAAACTTTTTAAGAAATGAAGGGAAATAAACTTAATTTTAAAGTATCCAAGGAGCCGCCGGCAAAAACTAGTTGTGCATAAATAAGAAATGATTTATTCATGTTTTATCCAATTACCATATATTCCATTGAAGTCTATGAATTATCCCACAAAGGCCAACTATTTTCTAAAGAGGTTATTTTATTCCATTTTCGGATTATCACTGGTCCGGATGATTATGATAAACTTTCGACATGCCGTTGCCTTTAAGGAATTCCACAAAGTTGGGCTCGGGAATTTTCCCTTTTTCGACTGTTTGCTTATTTTTTCCAGTTACGGAAATTACACGAGAGGCGAAGGCAAAAAATGAAAGAAATTCTTTCGGTTCAAAGAATACAAATCCATAAGGCGAGAGAGATACATGCTCGCATATTCCACCTAGAAGCATTTACATAAATATGCGGGGCGTTTGCCCCGCCCCTTCCTGACACTCCCACGCCCACGCCACTTCCTGCTCGAGTCCGTGCTCCTATTCCTGTTCGTGCTACTTTGTTAGGCTACACTCAAAATATAATTATCTTTAAATTGTAGTAAAATGTAGTCCTTCAACTTCGTCATTTTTGTGTACACAATCATTATCTTAAAGTTTCTATAGGGTTTGATTTTAATTTAATTAAGAAATCAAAACTATTACTTTAAAAATCAAATCATCAAAATTTGAACTGCACAAACAAAATGTATTAATTAAGCATACTGCATATAGTAGAAAGTCTTGCGTATTAAACTAACATTTGTATATACAATTGAAAATTAAAATATATGTTTTTGGGAATGCCCCCTTGAAATGTTTTAAATATTGCAAGTAGCTTTTTGTGTTTTAAGAAAATGTATTGTCTATCAATCTGGAATTTAATTTCTGAGAATAACCCTCGCTTGCTTTTACGAATCATATGCTTTTAGAGTGTTCCAAATTTGTTTCCAGTACTTTTTCTCAAAGTGTAGCCTGAGGCGGTTCCGGGCGTAAAGCTTTTGCTAGCAATTTTTTGAGGGATTTACCGGAATGGCATCTTCATCTGGTAATCACGCGAAAAGCCCGGCAAGCGGCGCCCCTTTTCGCGGAAGGACCCTAATGCCTTAATGGCGCCGCCACTGCCACAACCAACTGCCACTTCCACACACTCACCTGTAAGATGGACGGCGACGGCGGGGGGCATCACGAAGATGCCGACGAGCAGATCGGCCACGGCCAGACTCATCACAAAGCAGTTGGTGATGGTGCGGAGGCGGCGAGTGGTCAGTATGGCCAGTATCACCAGGGTGTTCCCGATGACGGTGACCACGATGAAGGTGGCGAAGACGGCAATCAGTATTATGCCCTGCCAGGACAGCACCAGATCGTAGAAATGCTCCCACTCTGCTGCCGCCGCCGACTCGTTGTAGTAATTGAATGTGGTCACGGGTTGGGTGGGTCCCGGTTCGGTGAGAGGCACTGCATCCGAGCCACCAGCAGTTCCATTGGCCCCCGGGACAACGCCCCCAGTCCCGTTGGCCGCATCCTCGTAGACGATGGATATGTTTTCCGGCTGACCCGATCCCAATCCCCGCAGGGAGGAGGCGGCCACATACATGAGCGATGGGTAAATGGCGCTTAAATTATTCAGCTGCAAGTTGATAGCCATGGATCGGCCGGTTGTGTCCGCTATCGAGTAGAGCTATCTCCGACGAACAGCCTCCCTAAGCCCATCCATATCCTTCCATGTCCCAGAAGCAGGAGTAGGAGCTTGAGTAAGGCCCAACTTTTGTCATCGTTTCACCTGCAATCAGACGGAAGTGCAGCAGTTAGTCAGTATTCATAAAAGTCCTTTAAAATGGAAATCATAGAGAGTCAAAGGAGTGAAAAGCACCAATTTAATCGCTTGTCTAGATTATATGTTCTTATTTAAATTTTTCATGCATTATCTGATTTTTTCGTCTGACAATTTCCGAAATCAAATTGATTTTACTGAATTCAATATAAGTTCGTATTCAATGGCAATCAGCGAAATCAGCAATTTAATTTATTTGCATTTAAGCTGTCTTTGGAATTCAGCTTGAAAGTTGTCAAAGGGGTAAGTAAATTCCTGAGAAGGACTTGATTTTGTATTGGCAACACAATAGAAAAAACTGCTATTTTTTTGTGTGCTAAATAAATACTAGAAATTACTACTTTTATTTACATTTAACATTTAAGCAAGAGCTCTACTGTTTTATTATACTTTTTGTGAGCAATTAATTAAATTGAGTTTATCTAATTGAATTAAAAAACCCCGTGAATCAGAAACAGACTTTTTAATCAAAGAAATTCTTTAAATTCAAAGTTCATATATTTACAGAGTTTTGGCCTGAAAACCTTTCAATCAAGAAAAATATCTGCAGCGAAACTACTAGCAAAACATGTACTTGTGGTTCTAAAAATAATAGAATTGAAATCACAGAATTTAATAAGTTCCTAACAATGTAACAGAGTGGCAAAATACATCGCAATTTATTAACAATAAATTTCCCACCATTATTGTTATAAAATGGAAAATTTTGTGCAATTTATCAGGCACTTAGCCATATAGTTTTATTGTAAGTAAACTTCAACGTTATATAAATGTTTCTGTTCTAGTATAATAAATAAATGTAAAGCATTTTTTTGGGAATTTTTGTTTTACAATTTCTCGGTGAAACTATTTCTTTGTGTTAAAGAAACTAAGAATACTTTTGCAAACTTAATTTGGAGGTGTTACCTCAGGTTAATTACTGCAGAATGTTTGTTTGGGGAAACCCGAATCCATCAAGATTTTTCAATTCATCAACGAAACTTTTCCACCATTCACTATTTCCACTTCTCCTCCGGTTCCTCACCCCTCCACGTGCACTTGGGCGATAAGATTGATACTCGACGAGCGCTCTATTAGATTTCCGCTCAAATTATGTACGGCTATAGGTGTAGCTATTGCTAAATTCCGCCGGAATATTGCCGGAATAAACGTCGCCCGATGCGGATGACTGTTGACTGAGTGCGACGCTGCATACCCATACCCAGACCCAGACCCAGAGCCAAATCCAGACCCAGACCCACCGGCAAGGGCTGGCAGTTCGACACTTCTTGCCACTTCTGTTGACAATAATTTGGCATTAAGCATTATTTATTTAGCGTCCGATAGTGTGCGTTTTTTGCTGATTGCGACTCCTTGTGAGCGGCTGTGGAATGGGATTGTATGGGTGCGATAACCAAATTAAAACCGATATCGCAATAGACTCGGTGGCGGTGGTTCCGAAGGCAGAGGACAGCATTGAGTAGAAGTGGGAATCAGATTCATGCCGCGGGCCAACGCATTTCCCGCAAAAAGGGAATAATTCTGCAAAACAATATTCATATTCAAATGTCTGTGTGGGTGGGTAGAAATATTAGCTTCAGAATTCAGCTCAACGATAACACGTATTCAATATAGCATATTTAAATATGAGTGGGAGGTAGAAATATTCAAGACTTCAGCTAAACGATAACAAAAGAAAGGTTGCGAGTAAATAATAAAACCCCCATAACCAGAGCATTTTAAACTAAATTTTAATTAACGTTAGGTTGGTAATTTTGTCTGAAATTTTGAATCGTTTAACGAAAATAATACTGCTTATGCTGGTATACTCTATTTAAAAGAAATTGAATAGTACATTGGCTTTATCACTATGCAAAATAATAAATACTGTAAATGGTGATAGGTAATAAAATGTATTTTCAAATATATTTTTGAGGTTTAATTTTTTCAAAAGTTTAAAAGAATTCTTTTTAAATATGTATAACATTTTCATATTTCTAAAAATTTAAGTTGTGTGACTTTATTTTCATGACCTCATTTAAGTTTATTTAGGCATTAAGTTTTGAATGGTTTTGGGGGTTATAGGACTTGCATTCGGAAAGAGCATAGCCAAATTCGTTCACCATTTTTTTCACCCTTTTTTCAGAGGCTTTTAACGTTGACGCGGAATAGCCATAAAAGACCTTATCGCTCACATGATAGCAATCTGGCCGGGGGCGAGGTACCAGGAAGGGAACTTTTACTTTTTTATGCTGTGGCTTATATGTAAATATTTACCCAGTCTAGTGACGTACTCAAAGGTGAAAATGATTAATTAGATACGATGCACAAAGCCCACGGACGACTGTCATTCAGGGCCAAGGTATTGATCGGGCCGAACGGAATGTGTCATCCCCGAAAGATAACGTTCTCTGTCTTGGCCAGTAATTGGGGTCTACTGATATCTACATATGGCTCATAAAATTCCAATCACTCACATAGGAAATCTTGAGTATGCAATTCGAACCACCGCTGAAAATCAAGTGTATTTCGAGGGGGCTTTGGGCCGAAAATAGATTTATGAACTCATTGTGCAGAAGGTGGTCGGGATTCCGGGTAGAATAACGAACCCAAAGCCCGGGACTGCGATCAGGGGGCTGGAATGGTCTTTGGCGGCAACCCATCAGCTATTGACCGCGATAAGCAATGGCGTTTTTATGAGCTCTTTGATTGATAATCTAATTCGCAACTCAATTGCCAAGTTTGCACGAGTGGAGTCCCCTAATCTGGGGTCTTGGCCCGTTCCGATTCCCATTTTCACTACCATTTCCATGACAATGGCAGCAATCAGCCAAAGCTTTACCCTTTTTGTGCACAGGGGTGGGTGCTAAACTAGTTCTTCAAAGGCTGCCAATTGAGTTACCAAAATCCAATTACTTTGTTGTAAAGAACAAACTTATGAATTTCTAATTAATATCAAGCTCATCCTTTGACCAGCTGAACTTGAAAGATCGGGGCATAAGTTTCCGCTGCTCTTGGCCGGGTCATCAATCAGGTCGGCACTCATCTCCGGCATTAGATAAATCTGTATCATTGATGTTGGTGTCCATGGAAGATTTATTTCACACTAAAATTTCAAGCCAAGCGGCGTCCAATAAACAATGGACCAAAGTGCTTTTTGTATACATCAGTGCTGCCGACTAAATGTTGCAAAAAACAAGGAAGTGAAATATCTAAAAAAATAACCTAAATTTTAAAATAAAAAAAACAAAACAGCAAAACTCGTTTACATTTTTGCAATTGCATCTTAATTATACAAAATTCATTTAAGTAAATTGGGAGAGGAAAATCGCAAATCTTAATTTTTAAGTCGTTGCACATTAAATTATCTAAAATGTATTCCGTTTTGACCACGATTATATTTGCAATCAGTTTATAAATCCTGAACAACTAAAAAGGACAGATCTCTCCAGAATGAACAAATTATGGCAGCACTGCTACAAATTTCTACTTATTTATGCTGGCTCATCGCTGCCTAATTTTCAGAGATTTTCCAGCATTTGGCAGCTGGCGTCCTTCACCTTATTTCGCTTTAATTGACCAAGCATCATTTCATTTGAGTTATTAAGAGATATTTTTCGGAAATACCAGAAGGGCACACTTCAAGTGTGACAATCGCAAGGCCAGCTGAATTGAGTTTGACAAGAAATGCTGACTTTTTCGGAATGTTTGGAATGTAATTTTCTTTTTTTCTGCATAGCAGAAAAAAACGGCTGAGTTCCGTTAAAATTTATTCAAACACCCACAACAGCATCCCACTTCCGTTGAACATTTGTTGCAATTTGCGGCTTACATGGCGTATGTGTAATGTGCATGTGAAATAATATTTCATTTGCATTCAGCAAATAAAGGACGGTGGGCGGCAAGGGTGGAGAGGGGACCACCATTCCGCCTCAGGCATAAAGGACCCCCGCTGACGTCAAACACCCAGTCAGCCAATAGAAGCCACTATTTATTGAGACTGTCAGACACTTATTTGTCCTCTTTATTTGGCAGTGCCATCGGAGTGTTTAGCGTGAAAGCATTTATCCATTACCCGACCCTTGGACTCCTCTGATCTATGCAAACGTCACCTGAACTGGGTGAAGGTGAAGGGTCTGCAGAAGAGTCCTGCAGAAGGACCCTCATCGCGCTGTTTACTTACTTAATGCAATCGCTTTTCCTGCGCAGTCCTACGCTTTCATATCAGCACATTCCGCATTGTTTTATTGACACAAAGCCGTTAATATTTTTATTGCCAAGTAGGTATTTTTTATTATTGTTGTCTGAGGAGCCCTTTTTAATTGGATACTTTATAAGTGCACTACAACTGCAATTGACGGATACGCGGCTGCAGCCACTCATTCACATTCATTGTATTTTATATTTGATATTTTTGTATTTGTTTATTCGTATTTTTGGCCGCGTGACGACGAACACTTCGCCCATTCAAAATTCACATTATCGGTCAGGTAAGCCGGCGGCTGATCAATCGGATTCTCGAAGTCGGAGTCGGATTCGGATTCAGTTGATTGAAGACCCCCACGCGGTTCTGGACTCCGGCGGACCGATGGCTCTTGCGATTGCGATGGACGACCGACTCGGTTGAGCGCTTGAGGAAAACTGAACAGTTGAGCAGTTGAACGGTTGAACAGTTGAAACGACGTCCACCGGAGAGTCGGCCGAAGTCGGCCGTACTATCTGTCACTGCAATTCCCGCGAACTGTGGATCCCAAGTTGGCGGGCGTGCAAACACGCGACTTTCAAAATAATCCTTTGCCTCCGTTTCTGCCTCGTCGTATTTAAACAATTGTGCAAACACTCGAAATTTGAATATTCAAAAGCTCGTCGTGCCAGAGCGAAGCCCAGTTAATTCCAAGAACAATGTTTAATTAGGCTGTGTCTAACTCCTCTCCGTTGATAAGACCACTGCGTATTCTTGAGGGTCCATTAGACGAGTTTTACGAGAATTTCCAAATGAAAACATAAACGATTTCGCGGGTACTCAGGAAATCTAAATTAAGACTTTTATGGTAGCCTTATAGACATAGGAATAGATATAGCAAAGCGTGCACAATCGGTTGTGCGGCCCGGCTCTACCCTCTATATATATATATATATATATATACATATTCGTTTATCGGTGTGTGGGGCCTTTGTTTGTACATTTTATAACTTGCAGATGCGTCTCCACACGGATTTCGCAAACGCTCTTACTACACACTCATAATGAGTAGTGTCAACAGCTGCCGCCCAGAGGTTAAATTCGGTTGTATTCGATTGCGTTCCACAGGTTCATTATTCAAGGTGAATGCGTTCCACCCACAGTGGCGGTAAATTGCCCGATATGGAAGGTAAACAAAGGCATGCGCTCTTCATCGCATTCAATTTAACCGAAATAACGGCAATGGCACGGCGCGAAAAGTGGGTCCCAGGACAAAGGGCGATTGGAACTAGCTGAATTTGAAACAAAGAGGTCGCAGAGATCCGTTGAGACAATCGCCAATTAGATTCTTGTATTTAACTGGGACTTAAATTAATAACACAAATATTCGTTTTCAAAAATATTATCTTGTAATATTGAATTTGCAAATACAGTCGAATTTTTATCTGTCAGAATAATAATTCGAGTTATAGAATGAATTATACGTGTCTATTTTCCTTAAAAACTAGTTCGATTTATTAAAACGTATATTTAAGAAATTTCGAGTTATAGAAATATTACGTATACGACATGTATATGTAGTAATATTACAAAATGGTAGGACAAGGCCAGGCGTGTGGCTAAGTGTATAAGTAATTTATTTTATGACATTTTTCTTTAGTTACTTAAGTTTCTTTTAATTTTTTTATTTGAGATGCTTCGACCAATTACATGGCGTATGAGTAATTTTGATGATGGCTTTGTGGCACTTCACCAAAAATACTCATACGACTTGTATGTCAGTCAAGTCAAGTTCGTTAGTTTTTATTGTCCGTATAATCTTTACTCTTAAAATAAAGGCAAAATTCTTTAACAAGAATAGGTAATACATTTAGTGGAATGTATATTTAATATTTGTTTGCAATTACTTAAATACACATTTTTAATGTATTAACTTCAAGTTTCAAAGACATTAGATGTATTAAACATTCGCAAAGGCTTGTTGCACAGCTTGTGGCGCAGTTGGTAGTCCCTAAATCAGATCCAAAACCACTGCATACCTTCGGGCTGTCCCTCCCACCATAGTTAACCAATGTTAAGCAAAATCAGCTCGGAGCCACCTGGATGGAGTTGTGACCAGCGGCCAGTGGCCAGTGGCCAGTGGCTAGCACTGGACATCACTTAGATTGATTAAATGCGGGGAATCTGTGCGGTTCGGGTACGTGACTCTGCTGAATGGCTGGGCATAATTGGTGTCTATGCGAAGGCGATGATCCCGAAAGGGTAAAGGGTCACAGGCAGGCACCGAAAAATGACTTCTGGCCGTGGACAAAGTTTCGCAACATCATTTAATTATCAAATGCACGTACATAAGTGAGTTTGCAGTGACAGGAAGGTCGTAACCCGCCCCCAAAAAGCCCGTTTCCCATTTCCTATTTTCCATTTCCCGGCGAACTTCAAGGTTGGCTGAAAGTTTTCCCCCTAACCTAAGTTGGGTCGAAAAAACTTTCCATTTCTATGCACCAGACTTGGCAAACGCAATGGCAATGGCAATGCTAAATTGAGTTTAACAATTTGTCTCAGTGGCACTTGCAATGGATTCAGTAATTGCCTGACAAATCGCTTCCCCATTTGTTGTGGTGCATGACACTCACGCACTCCCGTTCCCCCCCGGTGCACTTGTATTGGGTGGAATTCGCAGGACACGACAATTTGCCGCCTAATGTCCTGGCACCATGTGTATTACAGCGTCATAAAGTTTTAATTTCGCCAGCATAATTAGTCTGGGGAAATGGCGGAAGGAAGCCCTATCCCAGCTTCTATCGTATTCCCGGTTCTCAGTAAGTGCCATATGTACACTCCAAGAAATTATTATTTATTTATTTTATATTTATATACCTTTAAAAAAAAATCAATTATGAATTGTTTAAAATAGTATTCAAAAAGGGATTTAGTTCTGTATTTTTTTTACATTTTTCTATCAATTAACACAAAAACTTAGTCTGTTAGTGGCTCTCTTTTATTCAAATCAGAAGAAATGTATTTGATGTACCACACAAACTAGTCAAATATAATATTTCGAATTAATAACCAATTTAATAGGTATATTTTTCCTTGTGCAAAGTCTGTTAAAGTTGGTTTTAATTGATAGGTGAACGAACCCGCTGGGTCCCTAATGTATGGCGTGGCCGCTTAGAGACGGCAAAGGCCAGAAGCTATTAATAATTTTCAATCAATAAGTGTAATATTATGCGCGTCAACTGGATCAGCAGAATCAGAACAGAAGCAGGATGCAAGGAGCAGCGGATGGGGGTCAGCAGACTATATACTCCGATTACGGTTACCAGGCACACACAAATATATATATTTTAAATTTGATTCTCGAGCACCCTCGACTTTTGCCATCTTTCAATTTATTGTTCCCCTTCGAGAGGCCCCTTGTCCCGGTCATTGCGGCCAGGACTCTCCCATCCATGCCCTTGCCCTTCGGATATTGTCCGTTAAGCAGATTTCGAGCTTACATTGCGTGTTGGTGGGAAATTGGGAAGAGCATACAAAGGGCCAGGTCGCGGCCTTTAAAGGCGGCTTAGCCAACGTATGAGGGGGCGTGGCATACTAACATGCAAATAGTGGAAAATACGATGGATGACGGACCCGTCCCCGATCAACCAGTGGGGCATTAATTGGTTAATCAAGTGTACAACTTGCCAAATATCCACTGGTGAAAATGGCAATTTCGGCTGTGGCCATAAATGTGCGGAAGTCCCGGCAAACAAATGACCCAGACTGTTGTGTTCCACGCAGAATAACCACAAAAGCCGCACAAGCACTAAATACGTTGACCACGAAAAAACCAGAGAGCTGAAAACAGAAAACATTATTGGAAATTATGGGCCCGATGCACAGGAAGCTCACGAGGAGGCGTGCCCTAGTGCCCAGAGGGATTTATGAGCTTATCTATTTATGAGCTTATCTAAATTATGAAAAAGTTAATTTTCCATAGAAATTTGGAGTTTGTTTGAGTGGAACGAAAGTTGAATTACTCTGAGCGTTGCATAAACATGGAAAGTTATTTTTTACATTTTATTTTTATTTTTTTATCCTATAAAGTTCCGTTTTGTGAACGTGAACTATTTATCAACTTACGTTTTAAGAGGGATTCGCCTTTGAGTTCGAATGAAAAAACATGCAAATTAAATGATTTATTAGTGGTTTTAATGGATATAGGTTTTTTAGGTTTTAATAGACATACAGCTGCGGTCAAAGTAGTATAATTTTTTATTTATAATTTGAAATTTTATTAATTAAGAGTCTTAAAAAGAAAGTATTTTTCATGAAATCTTGCATTCAACATTTCTTAAAGTCATCCGACTTGAAAGAGGCATACTTTTAAATGATTATTTTCTAATTCTCTAAAAATCTGAATTTAAATCTTAGTTTGAATATTTGGGTATATTTTTTCATTTTTTGGAAAAATGGTTTTTTGTTGCAGTAAATGGAAGTGATTGCACTCATAAAACGCAAAAAATGTAAACATTTATTTTTAATAAAAACATTCAAATGGATCTCAATCGCTGGGTAATAACAAGGTAAAGTAAAGACGGATTAAAACAGAAGGTTTTGTGTGCTATGAACTACATCAACGGACGGATAAACAGACAAGGCTGTGTAACTACTCTAAGTGTAAGTAAAAGCTCTTCCGCTGGCAATGCGTCAAATATTTAATATACAGTCCGTTTTAAGGTGAAGTACCATTTAAATGAAGGCCAACCTGATCGGGGAATTGTGCATGCTCGAACATCCGAGCGATGTTCATACTTGACTGTCCGTGGCTGGTGGCTGAAATTCCGCCCGACTGCGGTGGCAGCCATAAATAATGCCGCACGAAGTTTAAAATGCAATAATGAAATTTATTAAGAACTTATGCGGAGTTAAAACACCGAAGACCAGCAACGGCCTTCAGGCGGGATGCCAGTGTAAACACGGACTGAAGGAATCACCGAAGTCAAGGAGTGCAGAAGTCCAGATACTCTTGCAAATCGGTAAGTCCTTAAGTTGCCTGAAAGTTGTGGGAAAGTTGGCAACTTTTGCTTGGCGAAAGTTTGCCCCTCGGCTGTCGGAGTAATAAATGTGGCGAGGCGGAACAGTTGACCATATGGAAGGGTATTATGGCAGCGTAATTTACGCAGCATGTTGCCACACATGTGGCCAAGCGTATCATAATGGCGGAGGGGCGAAGGTAAGGGACCGTCTCTTCCGTCTGAACGACCTGCACCGCATCGACATCCTTCCCCGGATCCCACAACTCCATGGCCAAGCACTTACGTAAATGCCTTATGGCAAAAGTTTTTCCCCTTTGTTGTTGTTCGGCTGTTTTAAAAGTCCCGAATAATTGAGTTTTACGCATAATTTGCTTGATTTTACTTTACTTGCGGGGGCATCCGTCC